AATAACAGACACATTATCAGGAAGGGCTGCTGCATCCTTTGCGCCTCCCAATTTATATTACACCGGTTTCCCGGTGTTGCTACCGACCCTTGTGTCAGGAAGAATTTGACACTTCGCGCAGTTGTGGGGATACTCGGCCTCAGATAAGAGACCTTCGGCAAAAAGCGCAAGAGCATCGGAGAGAGCCCTGCAGCCAACCTGCTCGTTCAGAGTTTACGATTTGTTGACGCCGTCTCTCAAAACCCAGACCAGGTCAAGATATGCTTGGATCGGAGGGTGCCGGCCCAAAAATCCAGGGCTTACGGACTGACGCCGTGGGTTCGGACTCCGGAGACCCAAGCATGATCACATGCATGCGCGTATCAACTCCGGTTCCCCATTCAGACATTTGTGAAACCCGAGATGCTAGACCTAGCGACTTCGGGTGATCTCCAGTTCATCGTACTGGAGTGCAGTACCATACACCAGATGTTGAGGTGATGAACTGCGGCCTCTTTGGTATTTCTGATCCACGACGACATCGGGCCGCTCAGGTTGGTTTGTCATCCACTCCAGTTGTGAGTGATGCTGTGACGAACCCCTGGAGATGCGCAGGGCCAAGCCTTACCGCGCGGCGTGCCGCGATAGTTAACTGTGAAAGGTTGTACTACATATGATCCCTCGATTAACTATCTACACCGCTCCAAAAAAATCTGCTTGGGTTGGTGGTTCCGGGCCCCCACGAGGCAACTTGAACCGGATTGGGAATCTGGGGCTTCTCAAAGCAGACGAAGCTCGCTTGCACCCATCACTATCACCGATTCTTCGATGGCACGGTACGCTGTCGCTTACTTGATTGTATGCACGTAGTGTAAGTCGAACGCCGGCCCAAAACTAGGGGAATCCTGTCCGTCGGCGATCTATAGTCGGCCCGGGTGCGGTTGATGATGTCGGTGTCGTACGATTGCGGCCGGCGGAGCTGGCCCCGGTTTATTATCACGGATCCCAGTTGATGAAACTTCACTGGATACAACCTGCGATCGATCTGGTAGATACATGCAAGTTTATTGGTATGCCCGATTAGACAAGCTTCATCCAATGGGCGTATTTTTCGATCAACGTTGTCCTTGGAGCGTTTGGACTTTGGACACAAGACCGTGGATGTACGGAGGTATATCCATATCCCCTTGTTGAATATGCAAGGTATCCACCATTGTCAATCCGGTCAATTCCGAGTCTGGTCTCGATATTAGCTCCCATTTTAAAAGTTCACCAAAAGTCCGACTTCCTAATTCTTGTATGTAGCGCTTGTTGGGAGGTCAGTCTCAGGGCCTCTTGCGCCGCTGTCTTGCAGCTCATTTGTTGAGTGTTCCCACGTCCGGCACGCTCCCCGGCTGCCGGTTGCTCGCTCCGAAAACGAAAAAAAAACGTAAGTTACGTCGCTGATGTAATTATCTGTATTGCAGTTTACAGTGGGCTGTAGGCGGGTGGCTTCTGCGTGTCATCAGAACATCAATTAGAGGTCGATCCCAACTACATACATGGCATCAATACGTTTTTGATAGTTCGTTCTCTCAGATGAAGTGTTTATTATACCATGACGTCTATTTGAACTCACCCAGCATGTAAGTCCAAGATCCGGTAAACGTGTGGCTAGAGGATCGTATCAAGAGTACACATAGGGGGACAAGTATCCTTTTGAGGAGAGGACGTGACTGCAGAACGTCCCCTTTTGGCAATTGCTTGTCTGTATCGGTTTGACGAATCAACACTGGAATCGGCCCATGATAATCGCCTCCTCTATCTGTAACTATTGGTTACATACTCCGTAGTAAGGTAGGTAGGGTACAAGAGGTCACAGAAGCTACGAACACCTGGTCCGTGTCCAGACGCTGCACTGCAGAAACCTTGCTGCATGAAGCACTCTACACGTGTATGTAGGTCCGGAAGTCTCCCCGAAAGAGAGCCACAGCGGGCTCGTCCTTTCCTCTACGCACGGAATACCTTGGGCAAAGCAGTAGTTATTGGATAGGCTCATTCAGGACGTATTGTCTGTACGAAGTATGTCCTGTACAAGTAATAGCGACGTACGAAGTGGCCCAGGCCAGGTTGCGACTGATCTTCACCATGATCTATGATTCTATGTATCTCTCATTGTCGCATAGCAGTGCCAAATTGGGTAACGTTATGAATGATCTAGCCATTACTCTTCCCTGCGCGTGGGCATTATGGAGAATGTAGAGCATCGAAGAGGGGTAAGTTGGTAAGGCTGGATAAGTTGTTTCTGTTTCGACGCGGTTTCAGATCAAGTGATGCGAATCGTATCTTCTCGTTGGCCAGCGGCACCTGATCTCATACGACGATCTGATAAAAACAATATCTGCAGGGGGCCCCGCCTTATCTGCAAGCGACCAGCACTAAAGATGTGAAAGAATCGCAGTAGCGCAGGCTCCCCCCTTAGCCGCCGCGCTCGAGCCTCATGTGTCGCTGAATGAGATGACTTCATCGGGGTTGGGCTCGTGGCCTGGCAAGAGTAAAGAGCTGATGGATTCCAGCTAGCAACAACTTGCATCGAGAGACTTTGACTTGGGAGGTTCCCTACATGGTGTAAAAACAACCATGGGAGGCGCAATATCGAGCTTGCATATCACCTAACCAACGTCAATGTGATCGATCGAGTTGGCTGCAGGGTAACAATGCAAATCACCTCCGCGGCTGCGAAGAACGATGCAAGCCCGATTAACCCAACAAGCTCGGTACACTACGATAGCGTAAAGTTAGCTTGACGCGCCCTCCGGAGTCATGACAACGTTGAACATCAAACCCTAGCAGATTCCACTCATCGGCAGTCGTAATGCGGCGCAGTGCACTTAGCATCCGTCAAGATCTAGGGCTGTCCTACATCCCTAGGTATCTTTGGCGAGATAACCTAACAAGTTCGATGGCGGATGGTCTCTTAATGGGACAGTAGACTGCGGGAAGAAGTCGGTGAACGGGCGGCGTCGTTGATAAATACCGGAACTGGCTGTCAATGGCTTTGTCGGTGAGGACGCATCCAGATTCGTGTGTACAATACAGGTGTATCCCATATGGATGATATGGATGGGTACATGTAAGGCGGAGGACGGGATGTGGGAGAGGGGTAATTCCGCTAGCTTTGTGAGTCCATCAAAAGCCCCACCTCGCTCTGAAGATCCATCGTACGCAGTACTGTACATTGGTGTAAGAGAGGTCTTACATCGGGTCCTATTTTCCATCTGCGAAGAAGTCAGTTCCTCGCTGTGACACGTCAGGACAGATTCAGTTACACTACTTGCCTTACGTACCGTAGCGGATCTACTGGAGTCAATGTACTACACAACACGATCTCCTCAACGCCATGTGCTGTGGATGATTGTGGGACCCACTCCAACGGTAACGCACGGACCAAGACCCCTACAAAGGCTGGGGTTTTGCAGTGGGGAAACCCAGGAAGCAGCAATGGAAAGTCAGCACTGCGTTTGGTAACTTTGGTTGTCTTCTCTATCCGTTCGACTACGAAATATCAACCCGCTTTTGCACATTAGAGACAGAAAATTGACCAGGTGCAGTCTTCATTTTCAAGGGACTGGCGACTCCAAAATCTCTATTGGCGAAGGGAACTCGGGAGCCTTTTTCAAAAGCTCAACCGTTCCATCGGTGCGGGAAGGACCGAGCGGTGCATCGGAGCTCTTCGCTTCCAGCCCCTGAGGGCACTATTTTACACCATCTGAAAACCACTAGAGATGAATGAGGGTACGCATTCGATGAGGAGCATCGGAGATGCTACCCAACTGGGCGGGTTGTTGCACACCGGTATTGCGGTGGGTGAGTCGCACAGCAGTTCCTGTTCCCGCTGTGTCAGCTATTAGCAAGCTAGGAGCAGAACGGCGAACGAAAGACGAATTGGGTTTGCCAACGTCCGCAGTCGATTGTGGTACGGAGTAGTGGCGGAACACTTTGAAGGGTACACTCGTATGTACCACCAGTTCAAGCCCAAGACCCTTCGTGGTCACCCGCTGTGATGAACGATGCAGCAGGAGCATGAGGGGCAAGCAGTGTTACTCTGAGGAGCAAGGATTGTTCATCATCACCTCACCCAGCAGGGCAGAAAATCTGCATCTAATGGGTTCCGTCTGCGGCCCACATCAGGCCGCTTTCAAACGTGCAAGAAGGAAAAAATAGTGTAGGAAGGCGCGCAGAGAGCTCAAGTCTCCACTCAGTAACACACCTCAAGGCTTGTTGACCTCACGATCTTTCCTCTAGGCATCTTACCAAACTATCGCAGAATCAAGAATTGCACATCCTACCTGGCACAAGACTGGACTACGATTGATTATTGCACGTTGCCAATCCTCGACCCCTCCTTGAACGAGGGGTCAAGCAAAGCAAGCTCTAGACTAGTGTACTAGTGGGTCTTTGGCCAGGCAATAAACGACCAAGACGGCCCTCCACGATGTTGCGCACAGACAGCTCGAGCTAACATCACATCTTCATTCTGGTACAGGAAGGGTAGGTATGCTCCGCATCGAGACACCTACGAAGCTGGGCATCGTCGATCTGAAGAAAACGTGGGAATCGTACAGGACTCGATGGCTTTGCCGAGCAGATACCCGAATGTCAAATCGCCCATGATTATCCATATCCCGATTGAACAAGCTTCTTTTCGGAAGGCTAACTTAATCGCCAAGCTCCTCCCCGTGAGCGCCGTCTCTTGAACTTGAATCTTGCCGCATCGAGGCTTCAGTTCAAGTCCTCAAACTCAACACTCTTCTCCTTGCGGTGAAGGATTCGACAATGCACCGCACTACGTGCCGTGTCTGCATCGCACCTCCCCACGCGATGTCCCCAAACCGTTCAGGTTCCGGGCCGAGCAGCCCCTGGAGCCCTCTGGGGTGCGTCGATCGCGGCAGCACCCCACACTTCTCTACCGCGGACCCAGAACACATACCCTTCTGAGTTCTCACAGCCTGGGGACGGGACGAGTTTGGCTCGACTCCAAGATGTTCTATTTGCCCAATATCGTCGACATATCGGCCGCCTTTGGCAACCTCACAACGGTGTCGACGTACCATCCTCTGCCGCTTCAACATCATGTGCGCTTCATCCGGCCAATACACCACGGCCCAGCAGCCCCTCACCTCCAACTAGCCCCGTTTTCAAACTGTCGGAGCCTGAGCGATAGGATGTAACCACGGCTTCGTCTCTGTCGTGCTGTCGGCAGGCCCAGCGGACTCCGGCCGAGACGGCGGTGAGCGCGGTAGTGTACTGGACCCTTCCAATATCCGCGCTCCGGCAGGCAAGCGGGCAGCCATTTCGTCCCGACGCTGGGGCCATCTCAAAGTTCGTCCCCAGCCCAGACCGACTTTGCTATTACGACGGCTCAATTACTATTACGACGGCCTACAAGCTGAATGTACACTATCCTCGCCGCGCCATGCAAGCCACGCCAGCCACGCCAAGTTTGCAGTCACCAACATCGCAGCGCACGACCTTGATGCTCGCACCCATACCTCACACGCAGGGCGAGCCCCGCGCGCAGTAATTCATTTCTTCGACCTGATTTTTATCGCGTTTTGGGCGAGTCATCCCAAGGCTCGCGGAGTGGGCGACTTAGTCCACTGCAATTCGATTGTTTTGTGTGCATCAAGTTGCTGTACTTTGATGCTGGTGGCTGCAACATCTTGGTGTGGCTTGCACGTGTGGGGAGGGGTACATCCAATTTGTAGGCCGTCGTAACAGCAGTTGAGGCCGTCGTAATAGCAAAATCGGCCCAGACGCCACTGCACGCTCCTTGCCAAGACAAGGTCGGCATTCGAGCCGTCCCGCGTCCCCCGCGTTGCCTCCTTTCAGTTGCCGTCTACACCGTGTTGACCGTATGTACTGTACATACACGTGTGGTGTAGCGGTTCTCTGCGATTTACCCCGCCCGGGCCTGATGAGACTCATCTCAAGACTCACCGGCGGCCGGCCGTGTCATGTTGCGCCTGGCTACCTTTCCTCCCGCAAAGTTCCCAGCCCTTCCCGTCTAAATGCCTAAAATGGTGCAAAATCGCCATCTAGGCCGTCCCTAAATCGCCTGCGGTGCGACATTAAATAAGGAAAACGACCAACTGGCATTGGGAGAACCATTTGCGACAGGTTTTGGTTGCGCCAAGCAGCCCTCCCGACTCTGCCCAATGACTATCGATAGGGAGTCGGTAAGCTCCGTTTGCCGGATATGTATCGCCATCGCTGCTGACGGTAGCACTCTTGTCCGTGACATTTCCCTTTGTCAAATTCGAACCGAACAGGTGCAAGACGATGGAACACGATAAGCCATCTTCTAAAAAGGCCAACAGAAGAGCGTGTTGAACCACTGGCCAGCCGCCTCGGTTACCATCCCGCGGACACAAATCTGGGGAATCCTTGTCCAAAGTACGGAATAGAGCGAACCAAAGTCGCAAGTCGTTTGGTGATGTCAGCAAAGTGGTTGATGGTTGGCCATTGGGACCATCGCTGACACTGACGCTATAACGCAGCAGGACCGTGTTTTATAGTATCATGTTTGCAAAGTCATGACAAACGCTGCTTTCTCCCGCACCTCGCCGACTCATCGTGGTCACTTATCCTTGCGGTACTGGTACTTGCTCTTCGAAGATCGCCGAATCGTTGATAAAGCCCGCGCATATGCAGTATCGTCCAAAACAGATCTCTCGAAGCTTTCCATGTTTATGTTGCATACATATAGGCCTAACTGCTCAACCGTCTACAATTGAATGCTTCGGCATCCGGATAACGGCTGTGGGGCAGAGCAGTTGGTTACGTACCTTACCGTACTGAGGTACTTCGAACAGCACCTACTGTACATTTGTTTCTCGAACTTTGGTACCTTACGGAAGCTGCACCATGCACATCTACTTGAACTGTGACTTGGTAGCTGCTATTTGGCGGATTATATCAATCCTGAACTTTCAGGTTTCTTCTGCATTAGTAAACGCATTATGATTGCAAGCACATCGACTATCAGTTCGAAATGTTACCGTCACCCCTCCAATCATCAGGGAACGACAGAGGAAAGAGCGGATCGCAACGAAAGTCAATCCAAAACCAACCGATCCCGTCAGGGGCAGATGTCATGAGCTGGATGAAAAGCATCTCCAGTGACAATACAAATACCGTAGGCTCTTTTGCCTTATCATGGCCATCACAGTGTTATCCGCAAACTTTCGCTGCAATAGCATGGGGCTAATATGGATGAACCTAAGTGCCCTTGCTATCATCATCAAACATGCCCAAAAGGCTGGTAAATATGACGATCCATATTCCCTCAACAAACAAACGAGGTCGGGATGGGTCGAGACGCGGGAAACCAGATGATCGAAGCCGTGACGGGAATTACCTGTCTCCATCTCGCTATAACCTAAGCGACTGGCAACGAGCCGAGATGTGGTTTGCCTTGAGCGATCTATCTACCCGTTTCCCCTTTTCCCGGTCGGTTCCTGGATGTTTCATCATTCCCGCATCTGTTTCCTGTTTCTTTTGCCTGTCGGTGCCGTCAACGATAGTGTAGTGTGTAGATGTGTATAGCTGCTCTAGCCTTGGACGGGTTCGACATGATGACGGCTTTTGCACTTTCTCAGTATCAAGCAAGGTGCAGTGGTCTTGATGGGAAACAAATGCCAGGGGCTGGAAAGAAACTGGGGCTCATTGGGATAGATTACAGGAATTACATTACACGAGTTTTGTACTGTGTATCGTACAACGCTCAATCACAAAAATACCGTAAATACCAACATTTCCAACCAGTAGTCGGCAGCACTTTTCTTCAAACCCTTTGGACCTGGCCGGGCTGGGACTCGGTTGAACTCGAGCCGCAGCCTTGTGTGCGAGTATCGAGCTTCTCTTCCTTGCAACTTCTCCTACATCCACACGGCAAATCACCCGATACTGACTTCAAATTGCCTGCATGGTTACTCGTAGGATCCTGGCGACAAGCCCTGATCTCCAGAGTGTGACTGAGGGATAAGGGACTCTCTCGGGGACGGGTCCGGCCGGGGTTGATCAGGATCGTGCTGGAACATCACACTACAGCAGATCTTTCTTTCCCCAGTTAGGCTCTGGTTAATGGAGGGTACCTTATGGGCCGCAGGCCACGATGATGTCCCATCTTGCCGTCAGGATGCCTCCCGACTCACTACTAGTGTACAGGAGGCTGCCGACAAGACATCCACTCTATCTCTTGCCAACCACACCTATCGAATACAACGGCGACGGGACTGCCGCGCAAGGACACGGCAGAAGCAGAACCACGACGATTCTAAGGACCCGAATGTGGTGGTGTAATCAATTAGACGTCTACCGACGGCCAATGACAGTGTTGATGTGCAGCCAGCAGCTTCGAGTTCTTCTTGTGGTCCGGACCGCCACGTGTTTGCGATATCATTGTCGGCCACATAAGTGAGACATAGCCCATACCTTCGATGATGATGCAAATTGTTCATGTATGTATCTACTCTGCTCGGTAGACCTCGTTGTCTCGGAACTCCCGTCATTACTTTCACTCGACCCTTTGAACCAGCGCCCTTCTCTTTGCCCAATCTCCTCGTTTGTTAGGCTTGGCAGACATGATTAATAAACCAAAGGTGTCTCATCCTCGTCCTTCTCTTTCCTACTGTACCTCCGCCTCGTGAACTCTAGAGGCGGGCAGGGCCATCAGTCTGTCAGGGAATAACCTTGTAATGCCATGCGTACCCCTCAGTAACTCAAAGCCGGCTGAGGTCTCCGCAACTCATTGATCCTTGTAACTTTTCAGCCATGTCTCTCTCAGGGCTGCATCTTGCGGGCTGCGTTTTTCCTCTCAACTTCTGGTTGACTCTCCGAGACGTGCTGCACTGTCTGGTACTGCGTACAGTACGGAGTACAAACACCGGGGCTTTGGACCCTGGTCGATACCTGGGGTACAGCGGGTGGAGCCTGCCGTGCCAGCGCCACAAATGTCCGTGCCATGAGCCCTCCAACGAATGGGGTTCACAACCAGATTTTGACGGACTCCACGCGACTGGATTTGGTGAACGACCAATGGACCTTCAGAATCAATTTGCCCAACTCGACAATGATTCGCCAATTCATCAGTTGCCAGCAGAATCGTGGAGCATGAGCCGTGTGCATCCCCTCGCTCCTTCCCGTCCGCTAGCTAGGAAGCTGTGCAAGCACTGCAAGCTAGGCCCGCCTTCTGGGCCGAGTCCTCTGACTGAGCTCTGAGTGAGGTGCCTTTGCCTGCCGCGACTGCGTCCAATATGAAGAAGAGAAGAATTGGCCGCCGAGGTGAAGAAACATCCCGATTCTGGCGATCTGGTGGCTGCCACGACACCTTCTTGTTCCAGCGTGTTCCTCTTTCTGTCTGCTGCACAAAAAAGCCACGCCCGTCAGCCCGCCAGCCATCCCGTCTACTTCCCCGATCCGTCCGGATACATCCATGGCATTTTGGACCCGTCCCCGGAAAAGGACGGCAACTTTAGATGGAACGCGTTCGTTTGAAGGGAGTTCGGGTTTGATCAGTATCGCTGGTAGGCCCTCCTCTCGCTGGGATTCCTCTATGGCCGAGGGACGACAGTTGAAGGCTCTTCTCTCCGTTGATTCTACCCCTATTACCATTAGTTGTCAGCCAGCGCAACCCACTCCTGACTGCCTAACATACTTAGCAAAGGGTTGAGAAGTCCGAATCGCTAACCTAGACTCCCCGTTTTCTCTCCAAGCGAAGTGCTTTTCTGGTCGTTGGGGTGGTATCGAACTCTTGCCCTGTTGAGGAAAGTCCGGATAAAATTGGTGAGCAGTGGGTGCAGGGATGAGAATGAAAGCCCCCAGCTTACCAGCGTCTGGCTGGGGTATTCCTGGCCCTTAACATACTTACCCTGGGCCGCTGAAGTTCTTGACACATCCTTCTGGCTCTCCAGTTCGAGGAAGACACGAGAGGCCCACCCGGACATCGCGGAGCTAACTGACTAGACGACCAGGTAGATGTCCAGTAATTAATCTTAGACGCCCGGGTCATTCGTGTAAAGCACGTACAAATACTTACCTGACCTTTATTCACCTGAAGACGTCTCGCAATTCTCACCTTACTGCGCCTTGCTCTTCCGCGTTCCCACCGCGCGACATAACGTCCGCCGACATCCGAACCACATATCGCCAATGCTACCGTCGTCGTGGGTCCCTTGAGCTATATCATCACTATACACTAGTCGGCATCTCCCATGGGACTGCGTACCGAGATTGCTCCCTCCAGTGGCCACCTGACTTTTTCTGCTTTTACCCTCTATTAGACATCAAGACCGCGAGAGCCTGCGGGTTGAAGTGTTCGTGGGGCTTATGCATCACCCGTTGTCCCTGCTGCTGCTCGGTTGGCAGACGCAACGCAAGACGCCAGGGGCAAGATCGAACCGTTCTTCTCTTTTTGTAATCTGCATTAAGTTAGCTACTGCGCTATCCCTCATTGAAAGAGGGTGCGTCGCTTCGCGTCCCGAAAGGCCCAATCAGTCCCATCCTTAACAGGATCGCCGCAGCACGCTGGACGGGAGCGGCCTCGACCGGTTTATATTTCTGTAGCGGCACCCGGTGCTCGGGCATTTCCTCCACCCAGACTCACACGCACCGCTGCGCTGCACCCCAGAACGAGACGAACGGCTGCTCGAGGTAGCAGTGCTGCGGATCTGGAGCACATCTCCCTGCAGCAATTACTTGCACGCAGCAGAGCCCAGACGCTCGTGCCGCCTGTCCTTCGTCTCCCGTCACAACCTCTTCCGCCGTCCAGTGACCTTCAATCTGGGCTTTGCTCCCGCTCCCCACACCGGACGGCTAGCCGAGCGAGGGAGGCCACCGAGGTACGTGTATACTATCTCCGACAAGATAGCCTCATCGGCGCAACGAGGTACTGGGACCCCTGTGGCCACGAGATTCGGAGGGTCCCATTTGGCAACCGCCAGCGCACACCTTGTCCAGATCCCAGATCCCCCTAGCTATGTGTACATAACCAAGAGGTTTCCCCCGGACCCCTCCACGATCCGAAGTCTGTCCCTACGTCGTCCCAGCCAGACTGTTCGCTTCTCGGCCCACGACCAAAGTCAGCAATAACAGCAAAGCCAGGCGTCAACCAACGTTGGCACCTCCGTGTTAGCGGGACTCGTAAACTGGCTTGCCTTACCAGGAACAACGACACTGGCCGCCTTCCATTATCTTTTCCGACGATCCCAAGTAGAGCTCCGAGCCGCTTGAAGCAACCAGGACGGTTCCTCCAAACCTGCCACGGGAAAGAAAGCCGTTTGTGCGCCTAGCTTATCACACTGGTGTTGTTTTTCGCAGTCTCCTAGCTGAGAGAAACGCTTGTTGTGGCCAGAGAGGGAAGGGCAACAGCAACATCAACATCAACAACGACGAAACCAACAACAACAAAAGAAAAGGGAAAAAGGAAGAAGACACCAGCTCCCGTGCCAGTGAACAAAACAGGGAAAAACTTGGGCCGCATCTCACCTCACAGCAGCGAAGCAGTGCAGCGGCGGATTGAGAAATCAGGACGTAACTAACCCCCTGGTCGAGCTCCTCCCATTGTCCGGCAGTCGGCCAAAATACCTGTTGGGCCAAGAGGTTGGAAATCTGCGGGTGCAGCGAACCTGCATCCAGGCACCGGCAGGCCCAAAATCGCTCCTTCTGGCCTCGTCGATCCGCACACCTCGCGCCTGTGGTTCCTGAGTCACCCCCCTGCTCAGGCCCCGCCCTAAAGCTGCACCATCTCCTTCCCTGCGCCTCCAGTTATGCTTGCTAGTTTCGGAAACTTAACACCTGGACTTTTCGAAACTACCAGCGCCCAACTTGCCAGACTAGTGCCGCCCTAAGGGGAGTTTAGAGCCCCCACCAGAATCAAAAAGGTACGGCGTTACTTCCTAGTCTTGCATCGCTTGGCCCGCTGCCCCGTCGCTGCCCCGTCACCACCTGGGCATCGCCGTCATCTGCCCTTACTATCAATGTTTCTTTTCATCTAGACTGCCTCGCCGTTTCTTTAGTCTCACCCCACCAGGCTGATCCGCTTCCTCAATCCGGTTGCTCGAGCATTACCTTAAGCGTGAAGCCACGCCTAGGAAACCTTCTTAAAACACCGACCTCTTTCTTCCCTTGCACTATTTTGGGCAGCGTCCGAGTTGAAGCGCTGGCCCTCGATCCAATCGTCATCTCAACTTGTTGTTGTCGCCTGCTCATCTTCTCTTTGTCGACGCTGCGGGCTCGGCCATCCTATCCTGTTTCTCAGTCGTTGCTGACGCCCCCAAGCTTTAAATCTTCTCGCATCACCCCAAAAACGTGCACTCTCTTGCGCAGTGTCGCTGTGTCTCGCGGAAAATTCGGCGGCCTTGCGCTCGACGCCTGACCTTGATGCTTGACGCTTAATCCCACGCTCGACGGTCTCAGGCTTCCAGATCTGGGCCCACGTCCCTTGCGTAAGGTCGACCACTGCATGCGGGAAACTGATCTGTTCGTCCTCGTGCGAAGGCTTCCGGGGTAACCGCGCATAATCTCGTCGCATCGAGGAAGATCACGCTCAAGCGCCGTGCTGAGCCAGGGTCCTTCGGGAGCACACTCGACGACCACGCCTGCCGGCCAACACTTGGCGAGGATCAGTCAAACTGTCGCCACGCCTACTCATTTTCCCCGCGTTCTGAGGTTCTGAGGCCACTCTCCTAACCTGGGAACCCCTTGCCTGTCGGTCCCCCACATCTGCACCCGCCGAGGAGGCGAAACGGGACCGTCCGTATAAGAAGAGTACGTGCGCAATCGATCCGCCCCAGCTCGACCCGCGCACCGATCTTCGAACCAGGAGTACAAAGAAGCTTTGACTAGGATTTCACAATCCAAAATGGACGTTCTCGAGATCGTTGATCATCATGAGCCGAACCGACCATTCCAGTGCGATTGGGAGCGCTGTGGCAAGGTATGTGAAGCTGGCGATACTGGTAGCTCTGATGCCGCCGCCGTCGTTTCCCCTCTCGCACGAGCCGCGATAAAGGTTGAGCGGCTAACCTTGTGCCATCATAGAGCTTTAACCGCAAGTCAGACTTGCAGAGGCATTACCGGATACACACAAACGAGCGGCCGTTCTCATGTAGCCACGCAGGATGCGGCAAAAGCTTTATCCAGAGGAGCGCCCTGACCGTACATACACGAACCCATACCGGCGAGAAGCCGCACCAATGTCAGCATAACGGGTGTGGAAAGCGGTTCTCAGATGTCCGTGATCTTTTTGCCAAGCCGTTCGAGACGCCGTACTGACTTCAGAACAGTCCTCGAGCTTAGCAAGGCATCGGCGAATCCACACGGGCAAGCGCCCTTATAAGTGTGCCCACGATGGCTGTTCTAGGAGGTAGGCTTACTTCCTCTCTCCCCTTGCCATCATCAACGTAGGACGTGGCACTAACCACCATGTAGTTTCTGCAGGAAAACGACCATGGTTAAGCACCATAAGCGGTCACATCAACGCGGCGTACACTTGTCTGAGTTGGAAGATAGCATGTCCGACTCGGGTGCCGATGATTCGCCGTCAACACCCAAGAGCCATGCCACGATGTCGTGGCCGGCACCTCTTCTGCCCATGATGGCGCATCCCGGCCATCAACTCCAACGAGCCAACTCTACGGGTGACTTCGGCCAGCACATGAACGGCTACAACTTGCAGCAGCAGTACAGCCACCGGCATAGCTTGTCGGGAGGCGTCGCAGAGTACCACGGGCCTCACGGTCAGCCGCCGTACCAAGACCAATCTCAGCAGCCACTGCTCCAGCGGACAGCTAGTCTGCCACAACACTTCTTTGTGACAGACCAGCATAATCCGACCGTGGCGACTATGAGCACTAATCCTCATCCTCCGGTTCAGCACGGGCAGTACCAGCAAATACCCCGGCAAGGCGTAGAACGGCTTCCACTTGAGATTCCGTACCAAAACGGCTCTGGCCTAACGGGGGGGTTACAAAGCAGCCCAAGCAGCTTCTCCCCCCTATCAGGGAGGAGTCCGTCGGCGCAGGAGGGGGGCTTTTACACCCACACGCCTCCCACGCAGGCAACAGCATATACGCTGCACGCCACCAGCCCTGTTGAGCAACAACAGCAGCAGATGGTGAGCTTCCAGAGCCAGCTCCAACCCTCCCAGGTGGCGGCCGCGGCCGCAGCGGCGCAACTCATGGCCCAGCCGAGGACGGCGGAACCTCTGCAACACCAGCAACCACCGGCACACCAAGCCGGGCCACCACAGTCCTCCCCGCCAGAAGCATACCAACAAGCGCCGCATACCCAGCCGCCGGAGCAGCAGCAGTGGTATAGTGGCGTCTACCAGCCCCCGGCTGAGGTGCCCACCATCGGTTCGTTGCCCGCGTACGGCGTCGGTCCGTATGACCTCTGGGCGGTCAAGCTCGATGTCGATGATCCGTCGATGCAGATGCCTAGCGCTCGTATTGATGCCATGTAGGCGGCTGCTGCGGCTGCTGGGGCTGCCATCTTTGCAAGGGCTGCTTCCCCTCGGCCGTTCCATCGCTTCGTTGGCGGTTGCTTCCCCCTCTTTTCCCTCTTGCATTTATATGGTTGTTAATGCATTCACCCAAAATACCCCCATTTCCTCCTTGCATCCAAACCATCATTTCTCCCTTCCGAGGACTCTTGTTGTTCACCCCTCCGAAAAGGGAGGGAAGAACGAGCAGCGACCAGTGTATCAACAGCGAATTTTCCTCTTTATCGTTTTATTACCCCTTTAATTGGTATTCCCAACGGGTCGGGTTGCATGAAAAGAAATCATCTCCAGAGAGGGTGGGCGGGTGGTGTCTTTGAAGAGAAAAACAAAATCAGCGGCCTCGGATTAGTGGTGGCTTCTCTGATGGGTCTTCATTCCCCCTGATTGAGATTCAGTTGTCGAAAATATCATGATGTTCGGATGTGAACGGCCGCTCCTCGATTGTTTATTCCTTGTCTTTCTGACTTGCTTTGTTAGTATGGGATGGTCAATGACTTTGGTTGCTTTTGATATTTGGTTCTTGGTGTGTCTATAATTCCCCAGTATGGTCAATGGGCAGGGAAGGACGGAAAGAAAAGGGACGGTATCGCGGACCTGGTTGCAGGTATTGGGCATGGGCTACGTCGTATATTGCGTCCCATCATGGGCTGTCTGTGGTGGGGTCGGTCGGTCGGTCGCTGAAGGCACGGGAACACAGCACCATGGGCTCGGCATCTGTTGTTGTGGCGGACTTTTCCAATGTTTAATGTTGCTTGCTGGTTGGAGGTGAAGTTTGGAAAGTGAAAACCCTCGAGCAGGGGATGGGACCGCGGGCTTTGGTGGTCTCTCCTCAAACCCCCTTAAGAGTGTATATGGGGACGTGAGATGTCGCTCGACTTGGGCGGTCGGCCGGTCAATTTGGCCGGACGGGTGAAGGGATCGATGCATGATGGAACGGATAGCCAGCTAGTTGCCGAAAGCCGTCCCTGTGTAATAGTACTATGGTTGTTCCTTTTGAAAGTGAAGCGTCGTCTGGTGTGTGACTTGTCTTATCAACGTCCCGGAATCTTGTCGAGGTTGTTGCAGTGGGCGTTGCTGGTATTGCCGAGTGATATGCTGACGAGCTTTGAGACGAGAGGACAGATGGAGTGAGGTCCAGGTCAGGATGGGTTGCTTGGTGCCAGGCTTGTCCGTTCCACCCTTGGCCGCAACCTGCTGCTGCTGTGTCACCTCGCGGGTTGTTGTCCGTTAGTGGGATCATGGTGGATGCCTTGAGACTGTCTCATGATCCATTCCCTCTTGTGGTTCCCTCGTTCTTCCTCCTCCTTTCGGTTTGGTTGTCACTTGATGAATGAGAAGAGTTGGAGTTTTGGTATTCAAGACAACCAGATATGAGAAAAAGAAAAAGGGGAAGAGTCAACCTAGGGGAGGGAGGTGGCTGAGGAATGAAAAGAGATGCGTGCCGTGTGAGCCCCTAGGGCAAGGCGGCAAACTGCATGTGGCACATTCCGCTTTCTCTTTTAACCTACCTACACTGGATTCCCCCCTCCTTCTTCCCTTGGCGCGCGCGATCGATCCATACTCTCGGATGCGGATGCAGTCAGTGCTTAGTGGAAGTAAGACGGTGGTCTTGTGTGTGTGCTTTTTTAGGCAGTGCATGGCATGTCAGCACGCTGGGGAGGTGCACTTGCAGGAATTCTGAATTCTTCCCCTTTAGCCGAGCCGTGAGTAGTGACTGACTGTTGACGGGAGAGGAAAGGGGGTTTGGTTTGGTTATGAAGGAGGAGAGAGAGAGAAAACCAAGGAGAGGGATATAACAAAACAGTGGATGGCGGCCCAGGTTGCGGGCGCGAAACTTGAGTAGGTCAGGACTTCCCGTCCTTTTGCTCACGGGGTGCAACCATATCATACATCCCTCTTCCAGCTGCGCCGTCTGGAAAGAAACTCGGCGTCTCCGAGCAGCCTCGTCTTTTGTTATATCGTTTGCCGTTTCCACTTTCCGCCCCGTTAGCCGCTGACACATGTGGTGTCGGTCTGCGAGGCGGCTGTACGGCGCTGCTGACCAATGGGTCGAGTGAGTGAGTGGACCGCCCTCTCCCTCTCACTCTCGAAGGGGCATAAAGGAAGGTATAAAATAACGTTAACGCCCGTTCATCTCATTCATGAGAGGCATATCTCCCGGCTCAATGCGGCCGCAGGAACTCACGAGCGCCGATGCAACAGTAGATCAGATAAACTCGGGCGGAAAATCACTTCGCTTCGGGTGCATTTTGAGGTCTATGGTCTTTCTGGAACAATTCTGAAGGGGGGTCTCAATCTTGGATAATGGTGCAATGTCGGGTTGTGGCGTCTGGGTTTCTTTGGTTCCGTCTGCAGGTTGCCGCCCTGGATTTCTTGGATTCTTGGATGTCCACGTGTATGATGGCCGGTTCCATGGGTAAAAAGAAGAAAATAAATATAAAAATTTCGAGAAAAAAGCAAGAGAATAGAAGGGGAAAGAGAGAGCAGGAGTTTGGAGGTCGCTCCTCGTGAGATTATTCGAGATGAAACCACATGGCGTATACAGAGAGAGCGCTTGATGAAGCATACAAGTTACTTTGAGCCGAAACTTTGACTGCGCAGAACAGCATGATGATCGAGCTGACGACGCCCGCATTTTCACAGTCAGGGCAATGCCGACTTCTTAAGAGAAGAAAGTTCTACTCGCATATTCCCATGTGTCTGTCCCTGTCTCCGCAAAGACGCCGAGTGTGAGCTGGCAAGTGAGAATCTCCAAGGGATGTGGGCATGTGTGTGGGCATTTAGACAACCGGTTGCCAGTTTTGTCCCCTTGCATAATTACCTGATTGGCGGGGCAGGGTGGGCTTGGGCGAGTCCAGCGAGATGACTTGGTGAATTTGTGCGCGGGACCCCGCCGAGGCGGCACAAGCCGCCACCGGAGGACTTCTCCTGTCTGTCACTCATCAGAGGATTGCTTCATCAGTCGCTTCATCAGTCGCTCTGAGCTCAGTGGCAGCTCATGAACAACTGCAAGTTACTTTTTGTCGGAGTCTAGGAAGGCGACAGAGAGTCCAATTCCGAGTGCAATGTATCGTGACTCTGGTCGACATCTCCCGTCTTCCGTATCCGAAGACTTTACGGATATAGTATGTGACGTGTACGAGTGCATCGTACAATTGATGAGATGGACCCGAAGAATGCCCGCTGGATGGTTTGTCGAGATCTTGGGCCAAGTGCGAGTCCCTGGTTCGCTGCAGCATGTCATTCAACCCTTGGCAGTGCCCCTCCCTTGGATCCAAGGAGCGGGCGCCAAGAACTTTCGTCAACCGCCGAGCTTGGCGCTCGGTCAACACAATCGGCGCGACGGCAACGCTTGATCAATTGCGGATAGAAAGCTAGCCGCAGCATTGTAGACTATTGCTGCACTCAAATCCAAAAAGATCCAGCCAAAGCAGAGACCATGCGCCTATCACGCGCCGTCGTTTTCGGGATAGCGGGCTATGCCGCAGCGCACGGCGACCACGGCGACCATGGCAGCGGATCCCAGAAGCCAATGGTCGATGAGAACGCGAGTTGGATGGAAAAGCACATGGCTGGTATGTACACATCTCTGTCGTTGACGATGTCGCGTGCTAACCAAACAATTCAACAGAGGAGCACCATGCCGGGGGGTTCGATGCCGCCTCCTTCTTCACGCTGCACGACTTCAACGCCGACGGCAGCTGGGAGCCCGAGGAGATCCTGCGGACATACGGCCTGATGGACGAATCTAACCAGCATGTCACGCAAGATCGCAAGGACGAGATTGTGCGCGAGATCATGCGGCTGGTCGACACAAGTCGCGACGGCCTGATCAGCCGCGACGAGTTTGTGCACTTTATCGACGTGGCCGGCCAGACCCTGCCCGACATGGGCACTGGGCCGGGCCACCATGGCGACGACGAGTATGAATATGAAATCCATCACTGGGAAAAGTGAGTAGTGCAACAATTTGATGGCCGGACGGACGAGAACAGGTCCGGGAGGGAGGGGAAACTGACTGACAGGCAAAAAGGTACCACGACGAAAACACCAAGCTGGAAGACCTCACCCATCCCGAAGACATTGAGCACTTCAAGAAGCACGAGCAGATGGAGGCCGAGCAGGAGCGCATAGAGCAGCTCAACAAACAGCAAATAGTCGAGGACAACATCCCGGCAAAGTTCCGGCGCGACTAGTATACAGGAGGGGAACCGCAACGATCACGATCATAATGTCTTTTTTACTTTATATTTATTTCCACCCGTGTCGTATCTACTCGACTTACCTAGACCTTTGTAATACACACAAACACATCAAACACACAATGCCACACCCCCGGCGCGAACGTCTTGACGAGCTCGACATGCTGCACCCTCGCGTCACACCTCTTTTCCCCTTGCGACGCCTGCTCCGACGCCCAGCGAGAAAACAAGCCCTGCACTTCGCTCTTCCTCCGTTCAACGTCGTCCTCAGCAACATTCTCGTGCAGGTGCAGCCACGTGCCTTGCCCGTGTAACTGGCAGGACGCGGCAGCAATCTCCCACGCATCCCGCCAGACCGCGCGGCTGCTGGGCAGGAACCCGCAGCTTATGTGCACCACCTCCATTTCCATTTTCGTGCCTAGGCTTAGTAGGGCGGTGGTGATCCGTTGCCGGGCGTGCTTGTTGTCTTCGAGGAAGACGATGATCTGCGGCGCCTCCTCCTGTTCGTCGCCGGTTAGGATCTTACGCAAGTCCATGCCGACCGTTGAGGTGGTGGTGCTGGTATCATCGCTAGCCGTAGTAGCCGTAGTAGCAGTATGTAAGTTGTTCGGTAGTGGTGCCCGTGGGCTAACAACCTTCACAACCCACCCATTCCTCACCGCCCCGCGCCTCAACCCCTCCACGCTCCAGGGGTTCAGCTCCCAGCAGAGCACGCGCAGGCCGCGCGCCGCCAGGGAGAAGGTGAAGTAGCCTATTCCCGCGTACAGGTCTATGGCAAGTTTATTACCGTGCTTATTGTTGTTGTTGATGGTGGTGGTGCTGGTGGTGCTGGTGGTGCTGGTAGTCGGGAAAGAAAGCAGCCTGGCCTTCTCCTTGATGTTGCCCCGGCTGAACATGGTGTGCCGCGGCGCCCAGGTCTGGTAGATGCCGTTTTGCTTGGTCGAAACCCATAGCGCGGCTTGGAAATCGGACTCTGATGGGGGTTGTGAGGATGGGTGGGCTGGGCCGAAATCGCCGTGCAGGAGGTGAAGGCCTGTTGGGGAGCGGAGGAGGTTTTCTTGGGTTTCTTCTTCTTCTTCGTGAGTGGGGGTTGTGTCTGATGGATTGGGGGTTGGTGAGAGATGCAGTGGGATGCCTTCGTTTATGGCTAGATGAGTAAGGGGCGGCTTGTTAGAGGGTGGGGATAGTTCTTGGAGGATGGCTGTCCAGAGAGCGTCCTTTTGCGTGGAGTTGAGGGAATTCAGGAGGGCGGGCCACGGTTCGGTTGTGAAGCTGCCGCTTGGCAGGAGGACCATTGGCTCGTAGACCACCCAGCGTTTTGGTGCATGGTCGAGGAGTTGCTGTCTCGTCCTGTTGTAGTCGTTGCAACCGGTGTGCTGAGCGATAATGTCGACGATTGAGGGCGGAAGCGAGTCCAGCCATGAACCCACAGCGGTGTGGATTGGATTCTCTTTCTTTTTCCGTGGCCGTGACATGTCTGACGGCCTGGGTTGGATTGATCTAACCCTCATGAGTTCCGGTTGCATGTCCGGAGCAAGGATCGCCGCCTGATTTTGAGTTAAGATATCGGAAAAGGTGGGGCCGGCGCCGAGGACAGGTTCGGCGCCTTCCGGGATGCAGACGCACATCCATCAAGAGCCGGAGCGGAAAGCCATTAACGATGAACATCCTCAATTTTGTGAGCGCATAGGTACTCAATTTCATACCCTGGCAATTCAAAAATCTCTAACAAATTGGTCAACTTGCACCAAGCCTGGCACCTCCATCAGGCTGTGGACGAGGAAAATTCAGCAGCACCGTTAGACATCACGCACCATGGAAAAAAAAGATCTGAATTGCTGCCGTGGCAAGCAGTGGCCTGTCATTCTCAAGGATAATTTTTGCCGCCATCGACATCAAAAACAAGCCCGATTAGCTCAGCTGGTTAGAGCGTCGTACTAATATTGCTACTTTGGCTATATTGAGTGATGCGAAGGTCAACAGTTCAATCCTGTTATTGGGCAATCATTTATCTTTTGCTTTTTTTGACCGATGTGGTTTGTTTTGCTGTCTCCCTGTCTGCATAACGATAGAGGCAAAGTCAGATGTACTAGTAGAATTGAGCATGAAGGGCTTGATGAAAGTTTGAAGGAAGAACCACCTAAAGCAGGCCCTACGAAATCCATGCGTGCATGATTGGTATTCTCAGCTTTTAATTGTCCCCGGAATCAGCTCTGTAGAACTGAACCCGCTCTCCCCAGTAAGATAAGCCATTGTAGCAATCATGCCAAGCCATCGTATCAAATACCAATCCATACAGTCCGTAACCCTTCTTAGAAAAAGGAACAAGTGGTCACTCCCCTCTAGCCCTCCCTCTCCCTCTCCCACCCCGACCACCCCTCCATCCATCGCCCCGGTCCCGGCCTCTCCAGCCACCTCTCCCCCTCCCTCCTCCTCTCCCACCACCAGCATGATAACCCCTCTCCCCTCCGCGCCCACCTCCCAGGTACTGGCCATGATACCCACCCCTCCCTCCTCTAGGGGGTCTGTATCCGCCCGGCGCGGGTCCGACGGCCTTCCTCTCCGCCCTCTCCTCCTCAGTGGCATCCCACAGGTTTGGCACACCAATCAGCTCGCAAAACGCCGCCGTCTGCGGGTTCGTGTACTCCTCGGGCTGCACCCGGCCGTCCTCGAGCCTCTCCGGGTCGATGCCTGGTTGATGGGGCGGGGCCGTCATCACAAATTCGGTCGGCACGTCCAGCCGTCCGCGAGAGACTATGTGCTCCTCAACCCACTTCTCCTCGGCCTCGATCAGCGGCAGGTAGTGCGCCTCGCCAAGGTCGGGGGGGGTTGTGGCGTCGCGGTCGCCGATGGTGAGGAGCGGGTGGAACACCCGTGTGATGGCGAGCCATTCAGGGTCGTACTGCAGGCGGAAGGGGCGGGTGTGGGAAGAGGAAGAGGAGACGGTGGAGGTGGAGGTGGAGGTGGCGGGAATTTCCATTAGTTGCAGGAAATCGCGGCCCGGGAGGCACTTGTCTAGGGCTAGAAAGCGTGTTGTCAGATTGGTGATCCCTGCCGGCACCGGTTGGCCGGGGGTTGTGGTGGTGGTGGTGCTGGTTACTCGAACGGGTTTGGCGAAAGCGGCCGGGAGCTGGGCGCGGAGCTCCTCCGTGCTGGCTTCTTTTGGAGCCTCCTGTTCCTGTCCCCCTTCCGCTCCCCGCTCTCCTTCGTCGTATATGTCTTCCTCTATGTCAAGGTCGATCTCTTCCGGGTTTGCGGCGATGTCAGCGCCAGCCTCAGCCTCAGCCTCACCCGTCGCTTGAGGGGTGGGTTGAGCGGCCCTCTCTTTTCCCTCGGTCGGGGGATCAAACGTCTTGATAGCGGCAAACTTGCAGTGCATGTGTGCCGAGAACCAATATGGAGGCCGTAGCCTGTTCAAGACGTACTCGGCGGCCGGGTTGCCCAGGGTGCCGTCCCGCGACTCGGACCTGAAAGCAGGTTTCATCCTGAACAGCTGCTCTTGGTCGCCGTGCTTCTCGATCCGCCGCGGCCAGTCATGGCTGATGCCGATATCCACCTGAGTGCGCAGCTGCAGCAGCTTGCGGACATCGATCTCCCGCGTGTGGTAGAAGCTCTTGATGTCGTCGGCGTTAAAGGGCAGCCGTTCGTGGTGCTGCTTCTTGTAGTCGAAGCCCTTGAAGATGCCGCTCATGCCTGCGATGCGCAGTCCCCCAAGACGGAGGACGTTGGCGGCGCCCATGTAGTAGATGTTGGGCGTTACCCAGCCGCCGTAGTAGAGTTCCCATAGATGGGCCGATGCCTCGTGATTGCCCCCCACAAAGATGGTCAGGTAGGGCGCCTTTCGGCTGCCGCTGTAGTACTCGTGGAAGTCGCCCAGAGCGCGATACTTTAAGGGCACCGACATGACGTTGAGGTCGGCCGCATTGCGGACAGCCTGGAAGTCGCCGCCAATGATGAGCAGGTCAACTCCATCCCAGCCTCGCTCCTGGCATGAGCGCTCCACTGCTGCATAGATGGCATTGAGCGTGCCATGTCCCTAAAAATTGTCAGGATCTGGACACGCTCGAGATGCGGCAGGTTGAGACTGAGTAACATACACAGCCCTCGATGGCTACACGGACGTCGCTTGAAGTCATCTTTGGATCCGTGGAACTCCTTGACCGCCCTCTAGTGATAATTGCTGCGTCGGTTCACAAGTCTGCCGGGAATTGTGAGAAGATGGCAGCGATGAAGTCCTTTTACTCCGTGGTTGGGGCGACTTGCGATTGCCAGTCCCAACCTGACTGCCTGAACGTTCATGGAGGAAGGAATGACTCGGATGAGTCAAAGGTGAGATTGGCGTTACACGCCCACCGCAGAAATTTGTTATTGCCATTTGCGGACAGACAGTAGGCAGCAAACATCATCAAAGATCAAAGGCAGTTGAGAATTAGGTGAGGCATCCCAACCGAAGACTGACATTTAAACCTGCTTTGACGAGTCCTATTTTCACTACAGACAAAGCTCGTATTTTCCCTCGACTCGGGGACACCGTCTCGGTCGCTTGTTAGCAGGCCCGGTACTCGCAACCAATGCCGTATTGGCGAGGCCCAGAATGCGCACAATGCGCTAAAGTCAACGCTGCCGCTTGCGGTGGCACCCTAAAAGTTCCGTCTTGTCACGATTTGACCCGAAAGCTGAAAACGACCTAGTAAAACAATGATCTAGTGAATCCGTAGCGACATATGAATGAGCTCGTATAAAGAACCGCCATGGCCTCAATCGTCGAAATACTTTTGCTCGGCTCCTTCATTTCTTTGAAGACAATCATTCCTTGTTGATCAGTCCCTCCATCACAGACTCACAGAGTCCACACCACAAACACATCGGATCCACCCCCATTTTATACCCAATGTTCACATTCACCTTCAGATGGCTGCGATTCCGGCGGCCAACAGCCCCTTTACCTGCGCTCCCAACCGGGATTGAGCGCTTCTTTGTCCAGACACCTGGCGGGGGGATCGAGGTGCTGCGTGGAAAAATGCCAACGTCAGCAGCGCGGGCGGGTGCCTCCCCCCTTTTCTTTATCCACGGCGGCATGGGCGGGGCGTGGGTGTGGACAGAATACCTCGAGTACTTTGCGGCCCGCGGCATCCCGTGCTACGCAGTATCCCTGCGTGGCCACGGCGGCAGCTGGCATCCTTCGTTTCTGCGCATGGTGTACGGCACCACCAAGCGCATGCTGGCCGACGATGCGGTTGCCGCGCTGCGTTGGGTGCAGGAGCGCGAGGGCGGGAAGGAGGTTGTCTTGGTTGGGCATTCTAGCGGCGGAGGGCTCTCGCAGTTGATTCTGTCTGAGCAGGACGTCAGAGTGAAAGGCTTGGTGTTGGCGGGCGCGGTACCGGGTTTTGGATCGTAGGTTCAAACAAAGCTTTTCGGCCAGGTGTGATATCTCTGCTAACATGTCAATTGTAGCTTGGGTGTCTACATCAATTGGTGGTTACTAGATCCTTGGTTTAACATCAGGATGATCTTCCACGGCTACCATCCTAATTCGCCCCTCTCTCACCCGGCGCTGACGCGAAAGGTCTTCTTCAGCGAAAAGCTGCCCGAAGACTATGTTCTCAAATTTCAAGAAAGGGTTTGCGCCTATGAGAGCTTTCTCTGGCCCTTCGGCATGTTCAGGCCGTTTGCTAAACCGGAAAAGATGCTCCCCAAGATCACCAGTTGGGGTAGTGGGCAAAGCATCATGATCCTCGCCGGCGAGATTGACAAGATCATGACCCATCCCATCATGGAGAACCTCGCCACCATGTACCGCAAGGCGTACACTAAGCTGGTTGGGAGCAAAAAGCTCCAGGCCGAGGATGTTGATGTTGGGCCTATCCCCGGAGAGGGTGGTCAAGACACAGCTGGTCATGGCGTGAGGTTATGCGTTGTTCCGGGGGCCGGCCACCACATGCAGAACGATGTTACCTGGGAGATTGGAGCTCAAAAACTCCTTGCCTTCTATGAGCAGTTGTGAGACCGTGTATGCCTAGTTGGCTTTTTTGCTTCTTTCTGACGATGTACTGTGAATAACTGGAATGGGAAGAACATCTCGACTTCTCTGATGTTTGGCATTTGGCTGATACCGAAATCTGGGGTGGTCGTTATAGGAGTTAGTGAATCGAACAATACGATAGGCGGTAAGATTGACACTTTAGCTGATATGGCTCGTCAGTAAAGGCTAGGTAGGTATTTTGTGGTGTCGATTCATGAACTCAGCGGCAAGGGCATATACAGTACCCTTCCGCAACATACAACGCAGGCAACCTAGTAGAGCCCCTGAAATCTATCCTGGCTCAGGATCTGTATGTGTCGGTTAAAACGAGCGTTTTCGCGGAGTGCCGTGCCATGCACAAGGCAAGAAGCACATCACAGGGAAGCCCAACGAGGGGCTTAGTGGGCGTTCCTAGCATGAGAGGGGGTGCTAGAAGGTGAACTTGCTCAATCGCAGGGCATATACCGAGATGAGACGGTAGCGAGACTGTGGTGAAAGCCTCACAGGCCATTATTGCATGCACTTGATCAACATAATCGCCTCGGGCATATTGGTTCCATGACTAGATTAGGTAGGTCATCAGCCAAGCAGATCATACTGACATCGTTTGTGGCAGTGTCAAGATGCGGTCTTGACAATGGAACCATTAACCCAACGTTGTGGCCTTGCTTGCCGCTTGGGTGCAATAAGTAAGCCGGTCTGCCTGTCGGTTGGCCTCGCCATTCGCCTTCAGGTCCTAGTATCGAGAAGAGGGTAAGACAGTAAGGATTCTGGATTGCCTCCACAAGAGGCAAGAGATTGTTGATCCATGCTAATTCCCGGGCCTCAAGGTCTGACACCTTCGATGTCAACCTCTTGGTGATTGGGTCATTATCGAGAGAAAATGGTCACCTCCAAAGCAGCCGCCAAAAGGTCGTAGCGATGCTGTCATTTCACGACCCTGGACGTTGACTCAAGTAGGAGCCTCTAGGCGAACGCAACAAAGAACTTGGTGAACTGAATCCGTTAGTTATGCTATGTTGCCCGATATCGTAGCATCATGTTGGTAATGCTCGGCTAAAGCCAATTCTTGTCTTACACGTCGAATGTGGACATTATAGACGAGCGAATCTGGCATGGCACTTGACGACGGGAGGTGCATAGCCCCGGGAGGATTACAGCGAAGGTCTTGGCAAGGTTGTCTCTCGGTGCCGATTGCCGCCAACTCGCTCAACCAAGACCCGTTTGATTGCTCGAAAGGCTGGAAGTACTGGTCTCGTAGTGCTCGCAATGTTGGGCAAATGGATGCTAGACGATGATAGTAACTTGGACAGAAATATGAAGGCGAGACCCCGTTTATGATGTGTTCATGTTCGAGGTCAGGTCCAAGATTGCATATCAGCCGTACCCATCGTAGCGGGACTCCTGAAAGGCAGCGATGGAGCCCCGCTATCTGAACTCCAACCCTGATTCCTATTCGCATAGGGAAAACAGGGCTGTGTCCGTAGCGAACTGGTAGCTGAACCCCGGATTTGCTGAACCATCGAAAATTGTGGGTGATCTGTCCCCACATGACCCTGGTATACCATGCACGGTTCACTCGCTTCTGTGCCCCGCTAATCAGGAACCCTTGGGGCGTGGCTGCACCTGCACATCTTACAGAGCTTACATACCTACACGTGTAGCACCAGGCACATGCAGCTATGGAATGTATATAAACACATCCGATGCTGTTTCCAAACTCATCCCAAACACAAAATTCACACGGCATCCTACAGCGTACAGTGTCAGGCCCCATCGGCTTTTTTCCAGAAATCGGCACTTCATCCCGTTCCCTCATCAATAGCCTAGAGAACATGGACAGCGGTGACCAAGGATCGTCCAAGGGCAAGTCGCCCGACCATTCCGACACCAATGGAGGCTTCCGCCCTCAGGCCAACATGGCTGCTGTTCAACCTCCCAAGCCAGAGGATCTGCAACAGAGCTACGCTAGCATTGTGGGCAACGATGCTAATCCGAAGGGATGGTACGGAACTATGAGTAAGTGCTTGCGCTCAGTAGCTCGCGTAAAACGGGGATGGCTTGCTTACTGGCGACATAGTAAATGGCATGGGCGCCATCATCGGAACTCTGGGCGCGATCCCCTGCTGCATCTGCTGCCCGAACCCCTACAAGAACGTGAACCAGGGCAACGTTGGTCTGGTCACCAAGTTTGGCAAATTCTACAAGGCCGTCGACCCGGGTCTTGTCAAGATCAACCCCCTTAGCGAGACCTTGATTCAGGTGGACGTCAAGATCCAAATCGTCGAGGTCCCGATGCAGGTGTGCATGACCAAGGACAACGTCTCGCTGCAGCTCACATCAGTCCTTTACTATCACATCGTCTCACCGCACAAGGCCGCCTTCGGCATCTCCAACGTCCGCCAAGCGCTCGTCGAGCGGACCCAAACCACCCTCCGCCAAGTCGTCGGCGCGCGCGTGCTGCAGGAGGTCATTGAGCGCCGCGAGGAGGTGGCGCAGAGCATCGCCGAGATCATTGAGGACGTCGCGGCAGGCTGGGGCGTGCAGGTCGAGAGCATGCTCATCAAGGATATTATCTTCAGCCAAGAACTGCAGGAGTCCCTGTCCATGGCCGCGCAGAGCAAGCGTATCGGAGAGAGCAAGATCATCGCCGCCAAGGCTGAGGTACGCTTCCTCATCCCCCATCCTTTCCTTAAAACTGGTACTAACTTTGGACGACAGGTGGAATCGGCCAAACTCATGCGCCAAGCAGCAGACATCCTCTCGTCTGCGCCGGCCATGCAGATCCGCTACCTCGAGGCCATGCAAGCCATGGCCAAGAGCGCCAACAGCAAGGTCATCTTCCTGCCCGCCGCCAACCAGACGATGCCCGGTCCAGCGGCGTTCCAGGCGGCTCTTGCCAACGGCGGCAACCCGTTCGAGGAAGGGGGCAGCAGCTCCAACGCCAGGACTGACTTTGGGAGCACCGACCCGACTTTTCAGCAGGCCATGAACGCCCGCGTGATTGAGAACATCTAAAACAGGCAGGCACAGCCTGATTGATTCCTCGAGTGGACTTCAGGGGTAGCTACCCTTTGGGCCAAGTCCACTCTTTGAGAAAAAAAAAACAATCTCGGTCGGCCCAAGCGTGTGATGCTTCTTGAAAAAAAATCACACGCCGGCGACACATCTCTATCTTTTTCTGCTACTGGCGGACGATGATCTGGCCCTGTTGAGCTATGGCCTTTGTTTTCATGGTGATGATAAGATACCAAAAACCAAATAGTGTGTTTGATGGTCCCTTACTCAGCGATGATGGAGGCAGCCGGATGCTGAGAGCGGGGATACGGATTGGAATGGGAAGGCTAGCGGAAGGGAAGGCGGAAGAGCGCAACGGTGCTCTTGGTTGTTATTGCCTTGTTATGATACCACATTCGTTTTTCGAGATACCAATGGAGATACCTTTCCTTATAAACCTCTGAAGCTGTTAACAGACGTGTATTGCAGTCGATTCACGGCATCAGTGCCTGACACGCCCAGAAAAGGGACTGTATCCAATCCCACAAGTCGTAGGTATGCTCTCAGGGTATCTGAACAGTATATGTATAGCCGGGTATCTACCTCTCCATGCCATGCTTCACAATGCACCTACACACCTAATCATCGAACCCATCAAACTCATCATCATCCCCCCCTTTCCCAACCTGCTCTTCATTCCTCCTCCTCACCTCACCAATCAACGCCTCCAACTGCTTCTGCTCCTCCCTCTCCTTCTCCGTCATACGACTCAACCTTTGCGCCTCCCTCTTCCGGCGCTTCTTCTCCCTCCTAGCAACCTTCAAATCCTCCTGCTCATGCTTACCACTCCATGCCTCGTTCTTTTTCCTCTTCAACGAACCCTCCGCCTGCCCATTAGCCTCCGCCGCCGCCGCCTGCCGCTCCGCCTTCTCCGCCTTCCACCTTGCCAGCTCCTCAAGCCTCTTCTTCTCCCTCGCCTTATCGCGGAACGGGATGCTTTCAGTATCAATGCCCAGGCCTAACGACCGGTCCAGGCCCCTCACCTCGGGCATCTTGGGCAGCTCGAGCAGGCCGTACCCCTTCGCAAGATCAACCCAGTCGAGGTCGGACACGCGGAAGATGGAGCTGGCTTGGTGCTCGATGTAGCTGCGCGCCCAGCTGACAAAGGCGCGCTGCGCGAGCTGGAACACCTCGCGGTCGGCGCGGGCCTGCGCGCGGATCTTGGCCGCTGTCTGCTCGGCCTCCTCGGCTGAGACGGATATGGTTGGGTTCTCCAGAGGCGAGATGGGCGTCTGCCGGACTTCGAGCAGCTGCACGTACCCTTCCTCGCGGCCCGGCTGGAGCATCACGACGGCTAAGCCGCGGCGCCCGGCCCGTCCGGCCCGCCCGCACCGGTGGATGAAGACTTTGGTGTCGGTTGGCGGGTCGTGCTGGACGACGAGATCGACCTGTGGGATGTCGAGGCCGCGCGCGGCGATGTCGGTAGTGAGCAGGACGGTCGGGGAGGTGGCGTTGACGAAGCGCTCAAAGTTCTTTTCGCGGACTTGGGGCTCTAGTTTGCCGTGCAGAGAGGTGATGGAGAAGGCTGAGGGGAGCACGCCGTGCAGGACGCGGGCGAAATACTTGACGGCGAAGCAGGTGGAGAAGAAGACGATTGAGCGCGACGGCCGGGGTTCGAGCTTCTCCAGGAGTTGGCATAGCGCGGGGATTTTCTGGCTCGCGGGTATTACGATGTAGGACATTTGAAGCGACATGGGGGTTTTCCTCTCCTGGATGACGCCGCCATCTTTCAGACTCTTTACCCTCACCGTGATTTTATGCGGGTATAATAGCCCCACGGTAATAAGCCTCTCTACGGCTTCGCTCAGTGAAGCACTGAACAGCCCCGTACGGCGCTGTTTAGGGAGGTATCCCAGAATCCGCGTGAGCTCCTGGGAGAAGCCGAGGTCGAGCAATCGGTCGGCTTCGTCCATGACTAAAACCTCGAACGAAGACGAGGGCGCCTTGACGTACGGGCTCGACAAGAGCTCCGCTAGCCGTCCGGGAGTGCCTATGAGGAGATTAGGCGACAGGCGGAGAAATGCGCTAAGGTCCTCGGCGGCTTTTGTTGTCCCCCCTACCAGGAGTTGAGGAACAATAACCGGCGCAGTTGTAGTGGGCCGCTTCTCATCGCCTTTGGCATATGGTAGGAGCTCGGAAGACGGGGCGTGGAATTTGATGAGCGAAACGAGGACATTGTAGATCTGCGACGCGAGCTCCCGAGTCGGGGAGATAATGACGCCCTGGACATGGTGTCGTTTCGCCGGCTCATCGCCGCGCAGGAGTTTCTGCGTTGAAAGTCAGTTAGACTCCCCTCATGTTGGTCGGGGAAGGCGAAGCTCACCTCGACAACAGGTATCAAAAAGGCAAGCGTCTTGCCACTGCCAGTGACGGCTTCCACAACCACGTCCTTGTTGCCGCGAAAGATTTCGAGGCATGACTTTTGCACAGGCGTGGGGTGTTCAAAGCCCATTGACGAAAGGTAGTCGAGGATCCATTGCGCGAGACTTGGTGTGAGGGCGTCCCATGACCTTGGTGCTTTCTTGGCGCGCGGTTGGTCTTGGGCCATTGTCGGCTTCAACTGTCCACTTCTCTCACCGAGGGATGTCCAGGTCGTCGCTGTAGGCCGTTTAGCAGCCCGGCAGCCAGCAATTGAGAGAATCTGAGAATCAGAAAATTGGCGGGTTTCGGAGCAGATTGCTAGCTTATCGGCTTATCGATAGGTGGCCGATGGATTACCAGCTACCAGGCACTGGCCCACACTAACAACCCTACCCGGAAATGTGACCTTCAAAGGTGTCACCACGATGGGATTGCTGTCGCATGGGCGAGTGCTATCAAGAGCTTTTATAGCGAGGTCTCGATAAACAGGGGCATGTTGTTCGAATCACTGTAAGAGAAACAAAAAAGCAAAAGATCTGTCGCTCATTGACTCTAGATGAAACCGTAACGAGATCCAAGTACGTCTTCAATATTGACAGGTGACAGGTAACGTAGGTACTGTACCAGTCAGTAACATCAGTAAGGCACTTACGGACTCTACGCAGAGGACAGTATCATTCCAGCTTTGAGCTGCGGGCGCCTTGGATAATGATCCCAATATTGTAGGAATCAACAGCTCGCTATTGGAGGCGTAAGGTTTCCTCATCCAGAGGAATGTATCCGTATCCAATCATGTAAGATGTACCGGTGGTGTAGGTACGTTTATCGTGGCGTCGGCTCCCTCTAGGGTTGGGTAATTTCGAACCTCGCTCTGAAATTCGTAAGCTGAAATCTGACCTTGAATTGCGAAATTTCCGCCATTTCCGCTAACCGTTTTTGGAAGGCGGTAAGGCAGTAGGGTTAGGGTTATATGTGCCCACCCTATATATATGTAAGTGCCCAACCTTCTAACCTTACTCCCCGGTGCCTGTAGTCAACTATCTTACATCTTCCTTCAGGCTACCCTGGAATTGAGGGCCTGTTACTGGACGACGAAGAGGGTACGCGATTGACTGACTTTTTGCTGAGGATGTCCAGGAACGGTAGTATTTTACTAGGGAAATGGGACAAACCCTGTTACCCAGCCTCAGCCAGCCTGTCCTTCAGCCCGTAACCAATGGTAGCCAAAACCACCCTCTGAAAAAACAGAAATTTCAGGGGCCCCTTGAATGAAAAATTTCACGGGAGGGTTGAAATTTCGAAATTTTAAATTTCGTTACCCTTCCCTAGCTCCCTCGGGCGTTGCGTCACATGCGTGCCTGCAAGAAAAGTGACGCATGCGCACACATCGTGTGCCCAAGGCCAACCGAGCCGCAGCGAAATTTCTTTCGCACCGCCCGCTTCGCACCACCCCGCCGCCCGCCAACTCCGAATGCCGTTTCTGCTCTTCAACCCTATAGACAAGCCCAGCTCCGCCGTTATTTTCTTGCCTAAAAATTGCGCATTTTGGACCAGCCATGCGGTGGAGTGTCAACACTCTGCCGCATCATTTTCAGCACGCTGGATCCTGTCACGCAAAGAATAGCCACCTTTCTCGACTATCAACAGTCCGTCTTTAGCGCTTTAGCCGACCCGCCGTCCGCGCCGCGCGAGTCCAGAAAAGATAAGCAAGACAGCGAATTAGCCGCGCGCTGGCCTCTGCGCTCCCTCGACATCCGACCGATCCTCAAGGGCGCCATCTCGCTCCCCGCGCTGCCGCCCTTCTCTTGCAACATGGCCGGACGAGGGAAACAAAGCGTTCCCGCCACGCCGCGTGTTATTTCTCCCAGCCCGACACCGTCGGAGATGGATGCCATCGGTCAGGAGTCGTCGTCATACTCGGGCCCGACAACCCGGTCAGCCGCGCGGAAGCGGGCAGCGGCTACCCCGCAGCCTGCGGCGGACGACATCGACGAGGATGAGAGCCCGGACCTCCGGAGGGCCCGGAGCCGGAGCCGCAGCCCGATCGGCCTGCAAAAGTTGGGCAGGCTGACACCGCTAAAATCCCCTCCCGCCGCCGCCGACGGCACCATCAAGCCGCTACCGGCGGGGTCGAACGGGCACGTCCCCGAGAAAGCGGCCGCGATCTCCAACGGGCACCTGTCACCCCCGCATACGACATACTACGGGTTCAGCTGGCGCGATTTCAGCCGCAGTCCGAGCCCGCTCGGGCTGATACCGATCCACCGGCACTGGCGGACGTTTGTGCACAAGCACGAGGTGCCGCGCAAGGCGCTGCACGTCTCGATCGGCTTCTTCGTCGTGTGGCTGTACCTGTCGGGCACGCAGACGTCGGCCGTGTGCCCGTACCTCATGGGCGCGCTGATACCCATCGCGGCCGTCGACGTGCTGCGCCACCACTACGCGCCCTTTAACCGGTTTTACGTCAAAGTGCTGGGCGCCCTCATGCGCGAGAGCGAGTTCTCGGGCTACAACGGCGTCATCTTTTACCTGCTCGGCGCCTGGGCCGTGCTTTACTTTTTCCCTAAGGACGTCGGCGTCATGGGTACCCTGCTCCTCAGCTGGTGCGACACGGCTGCGAGCACTTTTGGAAGGTTGTACGGCCGCTACACACCCCGCATTCGCCGCGGCAAGTCGCTCGCAGGGTCGCTGGCTGCGTTCCTTGTTGGTGTCGGGACGTCGGTGTTCTTCTGGGGCTGGCTCGCCCCGACCAAAGGTCCGCTCCCTGGCGACGAGAACTTCATGTTCACCGGCTCGCTTGGCCTTCCTCGGGCGCTGGTCGATGCTGTGGGTCTGGCCCCGGAGACGGCCACAGTGTCTGGCGGGCTTGCTCTGGGTATCATGAGTGTTTGGTCCGGTTTTGTAGCTGCGGCTAGCGAGGTTGTTGATCTTTTCGGATGGGATGACAACCTGACGATACCGGTTCTGAGCGGCTTGGGGATATGGGGGTTTCTGAAGATATTTGGGTAAAGAGAGCGGAATGGTTGGTTGGGCTGGAGAGATACGCGAAAAAGAAGGCGGATGCTGCCATTATGACTGGGTATGGCTTGACGGTGTATGTTCATTAGATGCATGGGTCGGCGTTCTGGACGGCGGGGTGCTGGGTACTGGCAGATGCGCTTGGCCGGCTGGGAAGTGAAGATTGCTTTGATAATCACCGTATACAGACTTGTAGATGGATCTCGAATGTCGAAATCTCAATTCCTCCCCGCATTGGCTCGCCTTCCTCGTCCGTTTGATGTGTTCTTATCACGTTGTCGACTAAGTCAGGGACCTATCATGTAGGGCGCAGCAAGTCACTGCGACATGTCTTGCATCTGAGCTGCGGGGAGAATGACAAAAGAGGCATAGCAAAAGGGTCGGGCCCGGTAGTCGGCAGCCTGACGGCAGGAGCAGGGATCTGCGTCCCGTCTTCACCATCGCAATTTCCTTCTCAACACCGAAAACTTTGAGGCATCAGCAGTCGACACGCAAAATATCTGAAATCATCCGGCCATCATCGAGATCTTGCCAATTCAAGAGGAACGCCAAAGAATCAACCCCACACCCTTTTAAGCTCCTCGACCTGAGCATGGAGTTAAATTAGGTAGGTATACAATTCTCCGCTGAGCATGGAGTATCGCATCGCCTTCTGACTCGGGAGCATCGGAGGCGCGGCAGATTTATCTTCTCTTCCCAGAGCCCGAGAGCGAGGAAAGACACGAAGCCATTGAAGGCAAGGTTCTCCGCCACCCTCCCGGGCACTGGTGAGTGGCCATCTGTACGCTCATGTACGTTTTCTGTCATTGACCTCTCAGAAGCCACCCTCGAGACCCGGCTGTGGCGTCTCTGTCCTATAAAATCGTGCCCAGTCATCAATCGGCGGTGCAGGTTTGGTTTAACTGCATCTTCTAATTCCACTCAAGCCCTTATGTTACATTTCGCCGTACCCACACATTTTCCTTTTGGTCCTTCCTGTTCCCTTCTCGAACGCAGCAAGGCCCAGCGATCGTGGAGCAGGGACACTGCTCTGCAGTCCCACCTCCCGGACATGCAGGAGGCTTTTGATGCGTTGTCCCAGTCTGCACAGTGTCCCGTTTGCACATGGATGGACACTCTCCGGCCGTTTCTTCATGGAGACGACGAGCCCCTGGCCAGTCACTTTCCTGCTTCGTCCGCAATCTCTCAGCATGTCCGCCCGCCCGTGGGCAATCACGGTTGATGTTTTACCGGCTTCTCTGACGCACTTTGGGGGCCTTTAGCTCGGGTGTGGGCACGTACAAACAGCCGGCCAGGCCCAGTCAGCCATGCAGAGGGGTACATAGACGAGCAGGACTAGCTCCCATCCTGACGGGGCCCAGGTAACCGGCTCCATCGACCAGTGGCCCAATGATCACCCCGGTCCTCGCCGGTGAGAGTGTTGTTGGAAGATGAGAGCATCTGCCCCATTTTACTTCGCATGGCTTGCAAGTCATCCCTCTCCCCCCGCCTCTGCTTGGCATCTGGTATATGCCATCGTCCCAACCAGATCAGCTTTACGGAGCGGGTTGCAAGATGCAATACTAGAAGACCCACTGGCGGAGGCAGCTGCCGTACTTAGCCTGCCGGGACGGCCAAGGCATCCACTTCCACCAAGGGGTTTCGAGGACTCCGGTGGAGGGAGATGGCAGAATCTAGTGGGCTGAACTCACCGATGTCAGCTCGAGAAACAATAGGGTGGACTCTGGTGTGCGGTCTACACCTACACATACCAGCCGTCCAGGACAGTCCTACAGTCCGGCGTTATACCAGTCCCCGCGCTTCCTGTCACCCTTTCTGGCCTCCATGACCTGATGCTGTTGCGCAGGCACCGATGCGGCGCTCACATCACGGACATAACCCAGGGGCCTCCCCTGGGAATACATGTAAAGCATCAGACCTTCAGGGCGTTGTGGGCATCCCAGGCGCTGTTAGTAGCTGCCATTGCTCATGATCAAGACTCTGTCCCCAACAACGTATGTCGGCAGCGCGGCACAGGAGAGGACAAACGAGTCTCCACAGTCTCAAACATGCAAACCCCATCGTTGGCCGCTGGCAACCGGCTCCGTTTTGTGTGAGCGGGTGGTGGCGATCCAGAGGTACAACAGTACGTCCCGGAAGCCTTGCAGACAGACCGAACCACAAGTTCGGCTACACAACGAAGCTTATGCCAGGGCTTATCGACACGCATCCATGGGTGTACGCCGTGGAACAGTTCCTGTGAAGGCCCACCCCTCTAGTGCCACATCCTGTTTCGGAGGCCGGCCAGGCATACAATGCCTCTCCTTCATATACTTGATGCTGTAGCTAAGGTATGTACCATATCTCCCGGCCAGCCGTTGGATTTACCGTTTTTCGCCGAGTTCCAGTAATTGCTCTGTGATCATCATGTGTCCTTCTGCGACCAATTGCACCAATTCTTTCCGGCTTCTCAATCAATGAATTCCCTTCGTATGGCAGGAGCCTCAAGAGACCAGTGAAGGGTCTATCAAGGCCTGGTAAGACGCACAGGCCAAGGCGCCATCTACCTGAGTTCAATTGTGAGTGAAATTCCAAAACCCCCCGCCCCCTTCTACGTTAAAGGCAAAAATAAAATAAAATGGAAATTCAAATGCCAAAAAATGGTAGAATAATCCATCCTGCAGGTATCTTGGACACCACATTGCCCGACCTGATGCATCACTGCCTAACCCAACTCACAACGTCTGTTTGACGTCGGCCTTTCACGCTTTCCGGACCAACGAGATGATAGTCCAAGGGAACTGGATCCCACGCCGCTTTCACCGTTCTGCCTAGCGTCACGACGGCGCCCTTGTTCGCTGCTTGTCGTTCGCTGCTCGTCGTCCGTCGATCCGTCCAAGGTCCCGGTACAACCATCCACCCATTTGTCGCCTTTCTAGTCTCACGGCCCGCCGCTTGTCCAAGACTGCCCACCGTTTCGCCTTTCGCTTGCTACCGTTCAGTCTCATGGCCCACCTCATGACCTCCGGAGTTTTTCGATAAACTTGAATATGAACTGCCATTTTGCTGACATCCACGGCGGGGCTGGCCTGTCATACACTACCTTAGTCTCAACCCATTCTCTACATCCCGCCATATCTGGCACAGTCTTCGTACAGCAAAATCAGTACCCCTGTTCATGACTCCGGCATATACTCTGCCCGTCGGTCGTTCACTCGACCGGCATGTTAGGTCTACACCCCCCTCCCCCCTCTTCTCTGGCCTCCTTCCCGAGGACCGTTGAGCCTCCGGTTCAACAGTCTTCTTCCGTTGTGTCTCTTGCCTCCTTACTGGCTGGCGTTCGTTGCCCCCCATTCCCCCTGGCACACCGCAGCCCCTAGTCTCACGACTGTCCCTATGTCCTTTCTGCCTTTCCATCCGGTTAACTCCACTGATACAAACGGTAACGGCTTCTCTCCGGGCATATGCATCCGCTTGTCTTCTCTCTGATCAATCGAAATTCTTCGGCGAACCAATCCGGGGCTTGCCTGCTCGGCCAATTGCTCTGATGGATCACCCCATCGGCCATGCCATCTCCCTTCCCGTTAGCCTAGCCCCACGCCTAGGGACCACCAGGGAGGCGTGCCTCAATGGAGGGCCGGGCTATCGTCACCGTCACTCTAATCACATCCTCCCTCTCCCTGGTCTCGAGCGGGGTTAGGGAGATGGTTGACGAATAGAGTCACCGGCTTTTATCCTCGCTCAAGCTTGTGATGCTGGTATGTCGAGGGCTATCGGGGGCTTGGAGAAGTATAAAAAGGGTCGTCCTTGACGAGGTCGAGCAAATTTCTTCTTCCTCCTTTCTCTTCACTTTCTCTGCTCCCCAAGCATCTCACACAGACCACAAGAACCTCTTGAGCAAACTTGAGCACTGCCAAGTGACACCGCTCGTCACATCACCAGCACATCTAGCCTTAGTGCTTTGCGTCCAGCCACAAGGCCCAGTCACACACATCTCTTGAATCCGCTACTTGTGCCTCTCACATACCTCACCATGTCTTCGTACTACTCCACCCAGTACTACGCCACTACTGGTGCCCTCCCCATCCCCAGTGGCAAGCCCCAGTACCAGCAGCCCTCATACTACACCAGCGGCGACAGCACCTATTCCGTGTCTCCGCCTGAAGACTTGGATGCCTCTGTCAGCTCTGCCTCCGGCGTAGCCTCGTACGGTAACAGCTATTCTGTGACCACGAGCTACGCGGGCAGCAGCCAGGGCGAGTATGATAGCACCGGCTCCGCGAGCGGAGTTGACCTCAACGAGTACATGCAGGAGCGGTTTGCGGCCACTTTCGACCCGCTTCCGCTCGACAAGTGCACCGCCAAGCAGGCTCAAACGTAAGTAGCGATTTTCTCGCGGTTATCTTTGCTTTGTAACCGCACAGCTGGAAGCGGATCAGATGGACGCTGTTGGCGAGTTTGATCGCGGGGGCTGTAAACGCGAGTTGCGAGTTTTGGCTAACACGGGATTCGACAGATCTGGCCATTTGAACGCCAAACACCGTGAGCTGCTCGAGCTGCAGGCAAAGGCGCAAGCCCGCCTTGCAAAGACCCGCGCGCGTTTTGCGCAGGGACTCGAGGATGCGCGCGAGGTGCGCAACGACCTCGAGTGGACGCAAAAGAAAGTCGCGTAAGTTTGCAACTCCTCATTCCGAGCCCGATCTGAGCTCCCTCTCGATTTGCGAGCCGAATGGCTCAGATCGTGGAAATCACGTCATTTACGAGCAAAAGCTGACCAGGCGAGAAAACAGCTCTTTGAAGGCCAAGGCGTCAAAGAAGCACTCCAAGGAGTACACAAAAGCGCGGGAGCGGTATCCGTCGCCGGATATGTACTAATCAGATCTTTTCAACCTCATATTTCCTGTTGGCGTTCTCGGTTGGATCTTGCATTTTGAGCGTCATTCACTGGCGGATCTCGCAGATGGGGCTTACCTGCCTACTTTCCCCATGCCTTGCGTTTCCATGATTTATGAGGAACTCGACGTGAAAGGGGGGTTGAACGCAGCCTTGCGAAAGAGGTGACGTTGAGACAAGGCGCGGCCAAAAAAGCAGCCGCGCGCGACTTTACCCCTGGCCGCTTTACGGAGGTTAGCCGCGAAAACGGTGGAAGGGGGGTGTCTGGGTTCTGCAGCACCAGGCGCGTTTTCGATCATCTCACGCCCCCTCCCTCTCTCACTTTCACACGCTCCCCCTTACGCACGCCAACGCAACGCGACGGGGCGACCCGCCCGCACCCACATGGCTTTATTAGTTGCTTTCTGCACGTTTTCTGGGTGGCTGTTTCACGTCTGGTTATGAGTTATGATTGGACCGGCGGCAGGGATCTGGGTGTTTTTGGGGGGGGTCTTGTTTCTTTCTAGGCACGGGAAACGGGGTCAGCGTTTTCTTGATTTTTTCTTGGTTACTGGGAGGAAAAAGTACCGGTACAACACCCTCCCCCCCATTCCCATTCTCCGCTGCAGGGCCACGTTCTCTGGGCGGGGCTCCCGCGGTTACTGTACATGACGTGGATGGGAGAGGGGGAGAGACGATCTGGGGAAACCATGCGCCAGGGCTTGATGCAGGTGGGTTTGGGTTTGTGGGTGGGTGGACAGGCATACCACACACCCTCGTGCCCCGTTTTGGGCCTTGGGGCCTTGCTTTTGGGGAACCACACGACCCAAGGAAACGCACCGGCCCGTCGGTTCAGCTCAGCCAGCCAGCCACGTGAGAGAGCGAGCGAGCCGGGCTGGGAGCTGGGAAAGGACGGGATCTGTTAGGTGAGCGAGGCGAGGCAAGGTCGGGCTTTTCCCTTTTCGGGCCCTGGGCTTGGGCGCTCGAGGGGGAAGTCTCTCCCTAACTGACTGGCTTGCTGGGCGGCTGGAGAGTATGTTAGTATGCTCATGACAAAGTAACAGGTGGTTGTCTCTTCTTACGCTAGCTAGTGGGTGGGTCTCGTCCGGATAGGGTTCATGTTTCTTGTGCCAGGATCTCTGTTTGTCCGGCTTGTTTCCTGTTCTGTAGGGCAGGTAGGCAGGAAAGCAACGTCCCCTTGACTCCGTGCCCCTCGTGATACTCCCGTGATGGGTAATGGCCCGTGACCTCGACTATGTACTGTACACACACTGAGCCTATTTGAACCCAAACCCCCTCCCGGCCCCTTCATCCAGCATAGCAGTCACTGTCCTTCCTTTCGGGCCCGACCCCAGCCCAGTCCAGTCTAGTGAAGACGCATCATGTGACCGTGACTGGGAAAGTATCGGGTCAGGCGCCCAACCAGACCTGAACCGAGATGCCTTTGCCGTCCGTACCCCTGCACTCGGGGGTCTGAGGGGTCACGTGATGGCCCCTTTTCAGATCCCCCTTTTCTGTTTGGGCCCTTATAGTTGATACACAACTCTTCCATGTTTGTGTGTGCAATACGGCCGGCCATAACAACAACAAACTGTGAAACAACCCACCTACACCACCGCCACCGGAGCCTTTTTCTCCCCGACACGACACGATACAAACATGGACTGGGCATAGACATGGACAGGACATAGACGGGGGATTCGACGCGTGCCCCTTTCAGCCATCAGCAACAGCAGTATCAGCAGGAAGGGCAGACGTAGAAGTGGCATCACCACTGATAGCAGTAGCGTCACCATTCCTGTTGCCATTCCCCTTCTTGGTGCCATTGCCATTCCCATTCCGACTCGGCAGCGCAAGCCACGTGCCCACGGGGCTCAGCCCCCGCCGCTTCTCCAGCGCCTCCCACGGGTTTGCGTTGCTCCTCGGGTCATAGTAGCCAACGTACCAGTTCGGGTTCCACTGTGGCCGGGACGAGCCGCCATTGTTACCGGCTGACGTGGCTGCTGGTGTTGGCGGTATTGTTGTTTTGGGTTTGTCGGGCAGTTTTGTCGTCTTGGTCTTGGTTTGGGGTTGACTTGTGGTGCTGGTAGTGACTGGCAATGGTGTTCCGACGGTGGATGAGGGCACGTCGTCCGAGTCGTCGAAGACAGCGGTGAGGTCGAGTTCGAAATCATCTTCTTTGCTCGCGGAAGGTGCCCCAGGTTTGTCTTCGTAGAGATCGTCATCGTCGTAGTCGATTAGATCCTCCTCGAACTCAGGTTTGGTGGTGGTGGTTGCGGCGGCGGCAGTGAGCTGGCCTCTGTAGGCTGTCAAGTGCGCCAATTTCACTCCATTCCCGTTGCCTTGTTCTGCCGCTTCTTCCTCGTGGTCGTAGAAATTCTCCGAGTCGTCTGCGTTGCTGTCCCCGGCTGGTTCAGGGGGCGCGATGACGGCGTCGTCGGCGCGCGGGTTGAACCGCCGCTTTTTGCTGGTGTGAGTGGAGGATGAAGGGTTTGAATTGCTGTGCTTTTGAGAACCGCCGAAGGAGCTGAAGCCCATTGTGGCGGCCATGGCGGCCTCGGTGACTGCTTCATTCTCGTAGTTGTAGAAATCCTCGTCGTCGAGGTCGATCTCATCTGGATTTGTGTCTGGGTCCTCCATTCTGATTGGTCGCTTGAATAAGGGGGATGACCGGCTGTCGGTCTGCACAGGACGAGATGAGATGAGAGGAAGGATGATTTATGCACGTTTGAGGTTGAATGAGAGATTCCTGGGTGAGGTTGGCGGGAATGAGTTCTCTTTGTTCGCAATGTCCGTTTGCAGCTGGATTGGCAAATATTCTGTATGTTTGTCTCGTCAGTCTGACTGAAGACAAAAAGAGACCTCCCCACCCGACAGGACTGTGCATCTTTTATGAGAAAACCCATGAGTGGATCCAATTCATCATGAGCGAGGTTGGGAATGAAGCGTTGTTGTTGTCAGCCTTGCGGGGCACGCTAAATCAGCAGGGTAGCCGCAACCCAGGAGCTGGAAACTGGGAACAGTATGCTATCACTGTTCAGCAATCACCACGCATCTACTGATTCTACTCCGTACACTAAACTAACACGGCTTGAGGTGCCCTGGTTGGTGTGATGATGACGAGCAGAATGAAATTGAGCCGATTGAAGGAAAAGCCAGGATTCAAAACTCTGATTGGCGTATACTCTTGCACAGTTTTTAGACTTGGAGGTTTAAGAATTCTCTGGCTCTCGACAGGAGCCCATAGTCCAATAGGTATCTATACTGTTTTCAAGGTTCCAAGTCCCCTTTCCCCGACTTGCTTAAACCGACCGTGCTTTCCTTCCCTTACTAAAGTACCGTATTGCGCCTGCTGAGTCCCGAGAACATCATCCATTGCTCAACTGCCAACGACAGGAATTAAGAAGGAAAGAGCGTGCGTTGCCACTTGGCACGCTGAAATTCTCCAAACCTCCTTCTCGTCACTTCTTCAAATCCCAATTTTCATCCTACTCCTCACGTTGCTGAAACCATTGTTCCATACTCTGAATGATGATCTGCCGCATCACAATCGCCGCAAGGCAAATGAGGGTCATGATGCTGAAGACGACATAAGCAGTCGATATCCAGTATCTGCCCGCATTCTCGACCGCCTCGGGCGTCTTGCTGTTGAGCTCAATCATGGTGTCATCGTTCCACGTGAGGCGGTCGCACCAGCAGGTGCGGAAGACACCGACCAGATGGAACAGCGTGCCCAGAACCATAACCAGCGAGTTGCCAAAGGTGAGAAACCAATAAATGGATCGAATGACAACCTCAGGCGTTACCCCTTTAGCCTTGATAGCCTTGAGCCCTAACGCCCTGCTGATCGCCTCCATCACGCCGCCTTTTCCTTCCTCTTCAACTTGAGATTTTTCCTCGGGAAGCTGCGATTTCTCCCGCACCGAGAGCCACGAGCACACAACGTGGAGGTAGGCGTTCACGAAGGCGATGATGGCGTACAGCACAAAGTTGAAGGACCGGCACCCAAGTCCCACGGTGGGCGTCATGTAGGCTATGCCAGCTGCACCCCCGGAAGCAACGGCGACGCAAGCCCACCCCGCGAACTGCCAGCCGCAGTAGCGCAGCCAGAACCAGGCGTCGGACCGCAGCTTGCACGCAAAGGCCCCCTCAACCTCAGAGTCACCGCCAACATCCTTGGAGTTGTTGTTGTCGTCGGGACCCTGCTGCTGCTGCCGCTCCACCCAGTCGCCCCAGAACTGGCTGTTCACATACCGGCCCCGGAGCGCCACCACGGCCGGCAGCCCGCCAGAGGCAACGGGGATTTGGGTCCCTTGCCCAAACGCCCGCCAGGCAAGTTCCGGGTTTAGAGCCGTGGCGAAGCAGTTGCCCGCGACGCCTACGACCAGGATCCATGAGAACCACACCGTGTAGGCCAGGGCCAGGCCCGTGTCCTTGTCGCCTTTTTTGGCGTAGGCGTCGTAAAAGGTGGCGGCCATGACAGCGAGCATCAGCACGACGGGGATCAAGATGGAATGCGCGAAACTCGGGCGTGCGACCATGATCAGGCTGATGGCCTTATCGACATCTTCCTCGGACCAGGGATCGCCTGGCCTGCTGCTATCGTTTTTGTTGTTCGTGTTGGTGCTGGTGGTGGTAGCCACGGTGCTAATAGGGCTGGAGACCGTAACCACTGCTTGGGCGGACTTGGAGTTGTCTTTCTTGAGGAGAAGGTTGTCCCTCTCGGTCTGGACGGGTTTTGACTGAAGTTGACCTAGGTTGCTCCTCCGGTCAGAGAACCTCAGCGCCCCGGCAAGGGCAGCAATCCACACGGGTCTTTGTTGCGTGACGGGGCGGCGCGAGACGCGGTACAAGGCTCTGGTGTCTGAGATCACCTCGTGTACGGCGCCCCAGACGGCACTCGCCGGGTCACCGAGGATGCTGATGTATTCCTGGACAGTTTTCCGAACCTTGTGCAATATCTTCATCAGGGGTCGCCGTTGAATGTGATCATCGGGCTCTTCCTTGCCGACCGGACAGAGAAGGAGAATGCCAATGTAGGGGGAGATGTACGTCGCCAGGGGTACCAGCCACTGGCGGAGGTTGCTGTATTGGGTCCCGCGACAGTGCACCTTGGCCCAAGACATTGGTTTCATGACGGAAGGAAGCGTCTCGTTGGCGATGGAATCGAAATCCCCGCCGAAGTTGCAGACTTCCCACGGGTAAAACCCGTTCGTCTCGGACCAGTATTTCTCCAACTCGTCTCGGACCGCGAGGGTGCAACATCTCTGTATGGTGAATGTGGCCGAGGCAACCGGAAGCAACAAGCTGACTAGGAACAGGACTGCCGTCACCCGTGCTATGAGGGCTAGCCTCTCGGAGGTCATAATGCCCGCCGACATTGTATGCCTAGGATCATGTCCAGGAGTCAGCTAAGACAACAGAGGTGGTATAGAGAAGTCCATGGCCACCTAACATCTCAGACATGAAAGGGTGAAATCTTGCTGTCTAGCTCACCTACAAAGTAAGGCAATGGTGCTAATCAGAAACCATGTGGGTTTGGGCTGGGCGAAGGCGGGAACGGCTAGTGCTCGTAACCAGGTGGAGGAGCAGCTACATGTAAGTCCTTTCCAGTTTCATGCGGATGTTGCTCAAGGCGTGTATTGGATGATTTGAAAGGAAAGGGGATTTATCATGATGCGAGCCCAAGCCCGCCTCATTCCATCACAGGCGGGGGGGCAGAGAGCCATCGGATTGCTTTGAGTGCATTCAAACTGATTATACCTACCAGACTACCATATACCACCCACACATGCAGTGAAGGGTGCAGAGGAGGAATTAGACCCCGAGCCTTGCGCTGACCACCTATACCAATAACCCTTCCTGATTCATTGGTAAGCTGTGAATGGCTGGTAAGCTGAAACTTGAATATTGATGCAATATTCCCAGCTTGACTACTTGAAGCGAGCTGCAGCTGAACTTGGACGAATCCCGACAGGGGCCGTCTTGACTCTTATCAGATCGGGGAGCTTTCAAAGTTGGGATGCAGGATCAGTGGCACACCCATTCAGAGCGGCACCTCTTATTATGCAATTCTCTCTCCAGCTCATTGGAGCTGATCACCTGCAGAAGACTTAGCGAGCTCGCCGACCTGAGGGAGCTGGAGTCCCGAATGGAACCTTGCGGCTCATGGATTCATATCAAATCTTGAATTGTATCGCTTCGCGCGGCTTCAATGTTCATCCAGGAATGGTGCCTTTACGAGCGGAGAGACATATTATTGACCTACTACTAGTAGATTCAAAATGAATATCGGATAAGCCGGGGTTCTGAATGTGGTCTTATACCTCCTTACCAGTACCCTATTGCCTTACATACATACCAGGTAATAGTAGATAGGAAGGAGGAGTGTGGCCTACCTGGGTCACGTTTGATTTCCCGGACTGGTAGGAGCAGCTGTAGATGCCCCCTTTCTTCTAGTTCATTAGTTCGCACCGCTGTTTCTACTTCATCCATATTTGTATTGCATTGTGACAGCTTCAAACTACAAAGGAACCAAGCTCCTAGTATTGGCCAACTCACCAGAGCTCTCTCTTTCTCAAGCAGCAACAACAACAACTTGAAGATGCTCTCCACCATCGTAACGATCCTCCTCACCTCCACTTACCCTGCCGCGAGAGCAGCACTGGCAACAGGCGGCGACCGTGACACCCTCAACCGTGACATGAAGCTCCACATGATCCCATCGCCTCGACAAGCCGCACCTAACACTGACAGCGGCGGCCTCATCGACCCCGTCACCCAGCCATACTGCGACTGGAGCGAATGCTGGCACTGGGGGTTTCCACCGCACTATCCGGCCCCCGAAGTCTGCGAGCTCGTCGACGGGCCGTGTCCCATCGACCAGTCATCCGACAATCTTAATTGGGACACTGACACGCCGGGACCCGACGCTGCAAAGTGCGGCGTGAAGCAGTACCGGAAGGATTGCTACTGCAACCTCAAGACGCCGCTGTATTGTGCTTGGAGGTGTAACTGGACTATTTGGTGAGTCGAGTCGAACAAACCACACCGTGACATGTATACCTAACACGAGTTGGTTGGGATACCAGGTGGCAAACCGAAGACTGGTTCTCCCGCGCCTGCCCGGGCTCCCGCGCATCCCTCCCCATCGATTTCTCCCCTCTCCCGGCCTGCGCCGCGCAGTGCCTGGACGACAACAGCTTCCAGGCCGGGTGCATCACGCAGACCAGCAACTGCTTCTGCTCGCTGGGGAAGCTGTTCGACTGCCACCAAAAGTGCGGGTCCGAAGACGAGTTGGTGCGGATCGCGGCCTGGCTGCAGGAAGTGTGCGACCTGCCGAAAGCCGAGGCAACAAGTGCCTTGAATGTGGGAACCTTTGTCCTGCAGACGGCCACGCCGACGGGCACCGTGACGGAGCCCACGCAGTCGGCTACGGGTGGAGCTGAGGTGAAGCTCTTCCTGCCTGTCCTGTCGAACGAGGGGAATAAACTGAGTTGGGATGAGATTTTTGTGGTGCTGTGTGCGTCTATTACCGGGGCGGTTGGGTTGGGAGTCTGGATTTATAGCTGCTTCGCGAAGAAGCCTAGGGGGAGAGCGAAGCGGACTGTCCGTGCCCGTACCTGGAATCAGACGGATACGGATAAGGCTGAGAAGGGGCAAGCGAGATAGGTATGACGTCTTGGTGGAAATATGGGGGGGCTGAATGGGCCGTTTGTTGAATGCGGTGGTGGGAAAGGGGTACTCCTAGGGCACTGTGTTGTGGAGAGACAAACTGATCAGAGCTACATGATAATGTATGTTAGTTAGGAGTCAGTTGCTCGAGGCGTTGGGTGTTCTCTAATCCAAGATTATTCGTCTATATCGTCTAGGTACTCAAATGTGGGTATTATATCGGGCCAGGTACATCCATGGAAAGGGGGCGCTGGGAGCTGTCACGACCGGTGACTATACATCCGTAGACGACTTCCCGGTCTCGTTATGGTCGCTGCCCGGCTTGAGCCCCTCGACATCCAGGACCTTCTGCCGCCGATGCGCCGCCTCAATCAGATCCGGCTGTTCCTCCTTCATGCGCGCAAATGCGGCCTCGGCGTCCCAGTTCCAGGGTGTCGGCGCAGAAAAGAGCAGGTCCATCTCCTCTAGGGTGCGCTGGTTCGTCTCCGGGTACAGCGCCCAAACCATGGGGATGGCCAAGACGTTGCACGCACCAAAGATGTAGAGCGTCTTCTCGCCAATGGCGTTGAACATGACGGGACACAGCAGAGTCAACCACCCGTTGCCAATCGACCATCCAAAGACACTGTGGCCAGTTAGTACTTGACGAGCCAATGAGAGATTGGTACATAGGCGCGAAGACTTACCCCAAGGCGTTTCCACGGGCGCGCACTTGCAGCGGAAAGATCTCGGCCGGATACAGCCACGGCACGGTAAGCCAGGTTGCACCGAAGACGGAGGTGAAGATGAAGACAAATGAGGCAGCCGCAGCGCCGTATGAGTTGGCCTTGGACACATCCCCAATGGCGCGGGCGTCCTCACCAAGGCGCGAGAAGGCACCCGCGAGGAACATGGCGATGCCCTGGCCGACGGCGCCCCAGTAGAGGGTCCAGCGGCGCCCGATGCGGTCAAGTGTGAAAACGCAGATCAGGGTGGCGAACATGTAAAAGACATTGTTGAGACCGCTGATCCACTGTGACTTTTCGGTGCCGAACCCGGCGATGCGGAAGATGGTCGGCGCGTAGACGGTGACGCCCGCGATGCCCACCCACTCCTGCACGATCTGCAGCCAGATGACCAGCTGCACGCGGCGGCCCACGTGCAGTTTGCCCGAGCCGATGCCGAAGAACATGTTCACATACGAATTCATCTTGGCCTGCTTGTGCTCCAGCGCCACCACGTTGCGGATGTCGTGGTACTCGGCCTGCGCCTGTGCCAGTCCTTCTGGGTCGGTGCCCCGGAGCTTCTGCAGGATGAACAGCGCCTCGTCGTCGCGGTCGACCTTGGCCAGCCAGCGGGGCGACTCGGGGAAGAACCAGACGATGGCCAAGAGAACCAGGAGCGGGATGAGTTGAAAGGCAATGGGGAACCTCCACCGGAATGGCGAGTTGCCGCCGTCAATGAACGAGAGGCCGAACTCGAGCCAGTAGGCCACGACGACGCCAAAAATGTTGAGGGTGAACTCAATGGCGATGAACTGGCCGCGGGACGTATGCTCCGAGGTCTCGGTTGCCCAGACAGGCACAATAGCGTTCAGAATGCCCGTGCCAATGCCGTTGACAAATCGCGCTATGCCAGCACAAAAAGGGTCAGCACTCGTTCATCAATGACTGCAGTTTACGCTACTTACCGCAAATCATCCAGTTGGCGGTCTGGGCGGAGCACTGCAGACTCGCGCCGATGATGGCCCATACACAGCCGGCGGCAATGGCTTTGATCCTGCCGACCTTGTCGCCGATCCATCCGCCGAGCAGACAGCCGAAGAGGGTGCCGAGGTAGTAGACCGAGACGATGCCGCCCTGCAACAGGCTGTCGGTGACGATGGGCGCGTCCGTCTCCGGGTCGATATACCCAAACCCCATGAGGTCGACATAGTCCTTGGCGTTGTTGACGCCGCCCATCATGCCCTGGTCGTAGCCAAAGAAGAAGATGGACAAGCCGGCCACGCAGTTGATGGCGATCAGCAGCTTCCGCTTCTCCAAGTGGTTGGCCACATTGAAGCCCTTGAGCCTCTGTAGTTGCGTCATGGCCGCGGGAGTGTTGATGTGCCTCTATCTTCCAGTTGTGGAGCTTGACCGAGGGAAGTGCAGATATTCTCACGACTTATATAAGGAAAGAAGCAGCCGTCTCCGACACGCTCACCCAGGGGTTATGTGACGATCAGTGCCGGAATGGGAACTGGGTTTGACTGACAGAGCAGAGAAGGCCTCGCCTTATATGTGCGGGCCTGTCGTTGGAACCCTACCTACCTTACCGGTTAACATACCGATCTCGGCTCGACATGACCCCAGAGAGACAGAAACTTTCTCCTTACCCCTCGAAGCCCTTCACCGAAGACGACGATCATCTCCCCGCACTCCTCGACTGCTTACTCCACGGTCGTCTTGTGTCAGAATCCACTGGCTTCATAGTCTACCCCGTAAATCCCCAGATGGGCCCATCAGGGTATGTGTATATCGGGCAACCAGTACGTCATAAGGGGCCCGTCAACTTGGTAGCGCTCCATGGAGGGCTCAGGAAAGCCGCTCGAGCCGATAGCACCGATCAGCTGATCCCTAGTGAATCCTGTCGAAATGGAGTCGCACAAGGATCAAGATCTTTTTTCCTTTGCAGCTTTCCCCCACATGTTCGAGACTAGACTCCATCTGGAAGCGAAATGCGGGAACAGAAAACGGTTCAGCTGTCAAAAGATGCAGCACGACGACGACGGCGGGGATAATCCGGGGATAACGCAGCGCCGGTGGCCCGGTGTGGGTGTAAGTTATGCCGATGCAGTGGAGCACGAAGTCCCGAGAACCCCTCGCTCAAGACGGCTGGGCTTTTCTAACAAGCGCACCAAACAGAGTTTGCAATTGACCCCCTGCTAGATTATTAGCTAAGTTCCTCGAACTGTCTTGTTGCCGGGAAGGCGCGAAGCTCATAAGCCGGTCTAGTGTAGAAGCAGCATGACCGCTTGTAACTGCCTCTCTCTGACTTGGAACTTCGCAGGCAGCTGCTCTTAGCAACGAGTCGTGAAGCCCGGGATCCCTTCCAAGTTCCAACCGCTTGCTTGACGAGAGAGCCGTCAAAAAACCGATGATAACCGCATAACAACCGCATAACCGCTTATTCTATCAACCGCAACTCTTCAGTTTGTTGTGGGAAATGTCTTTGTGCTGCTAACCAAATTCTTGTACGGAGTACTTCGTGCATACAATCGAAATGGGCCTGCTTGTGTCGCCCCGCATAAGACCCCTGTCACTCAACACCACCTCGATCTGTAACATCTGGTGTGACGGTGTCGTACTTCGTACTCCGTAGAACTCTTCATCACAAAGTCCGTTCAAGGCCTACAGCACATTGAACATTACACTCCTTTCGAACCTCTCAATCATACAATTTTATCCATAGGCACAACCATCACACCAACCTAATCGTCACAATCCATCTTCTCAATGATCATGGCATCACCACCACCGACATCAAACCCAACAAACCACCCCATCACCCTCCGCCTTCCCAGCAAATACTCCTCTCCCACCACCTCCCCCAGCCCCGGCTCCACCACCGGCACGAGCCCAGGCCCAGGCCCAGGGCCATTCACCCCGCCGCCCCTCTCTTTCCTCCACCGCACCTGGACCGTGACCCACTCGACGCTCAGCATGTGGCGCGCCGCGCGCAACGTGCGCATCACCTACGGCCCGCTGCCATCCTCCTCCTGGTCCTCCTCCTCCGGCCACCACCACATGCCGCCGCGCATGTCAGACCTGGTCGAGTACGAATCCCTATCCTCCTCCAAGTCCAACAGCTCAGTCAAGCGCGTCTCGGGCGTCGACACGGCCTCCGGCTCCGGCTCCGGCTCCGACAACACGGGGGAGTGGGACTGGCGGGGCAGCGGGCTGTTGTTTTTTGTGCGCAGTCATTGGGAGGTGCTTGGGTGGGGGGAAAGGATGGTCCTGGGGGACGAAGGAGAGGGCGGGCAAGAGCAGGTGGAACGTTGGGTGGTTACGTGGTTCGCGCCGACGATTTTTACGGCTGAGGGGATTGATGTGTATAGTGACAGGAGGGAAGGGGGGAGTGAGGCGTTGGTGAGGGAGGTGATGGAGGAGTTGAAACGGGTGGTGCAAGGGAGCGGGAAGTTGGCTGAGATGGTGGAGAAGGAGATGAGGGAGGTGGCTGTGAGCTTGCCTTGGAGGGAGAAATAGTGAGCTTCCGCAGTGGGGGTTGGGACGGTTGTACGAAGGTCATTGTTTGTGTATTTTATGGGACGGACGCTGCTGGTCAGCGATGGTTATGGGTGGATCTGGCTCTGTCTCTGGCTCTATCTCTGTCTCTGCTTCTTGAGCGATGGCGATGGCGGCGCCTGCCATCGCTCCTGTGGCGCCGCTTCTCATGTCCATCCTCTTCGACATCGTCTGGCCTTTTCTCACGCTCTTTGCTCCGGCGCCTGGGCAGTTCTTCCCCATCTGCATCTCGACGCCTGTGAGCGCGCTCTCGCCCTGAGTGATAATCTCCCTTATCCGGACTATCCCTCGGCCGCTCGCTCCGTCTATCACTTTCCAGTTCCCTTCTCCTCTTCCTCTCCCTCCTCCGCTCTTCCTTTCTCAGCGCCTCCAATTCCCTTTCCCTCTCCTCCGCCTCCCGCTTCCTCGCCCGCTCCAATTCCCTCACTTTCGCCGCGCCGCTCTTCATCATAGCGAGCGGATCACTCGCACCCAGCCGCACCGCCTCCCGGACCTTCCTGCCGGGGTCCTCCCTTCCCCAAACATCTCGACTCGGCACTAGGGCCGCCGACGCCTCGCCGTCGGCAGAGGCATACCACGGCCCCCGCCCCGTCAGGCTTTCCTGCCCGTCCCTGCCGGCCGCGTTGGCGAAGCGCATCTGGTACTGGTCCGCCAGTTCGCGCTTCTTGCGCGCCGCCTCCCACTCGTGCTCCTCATTCTTCTCGGCGGCTCGCACGTCAGCCTCGGAGAACAAGGTGATATGCCCTGTCGTGCTGTCGACCAGCGCCGCGCTGCTGCTGCTGCTCTGAGAAGGTTTGCCTGGTTCTTCGCCGCGGTGACTGTCGCTGCCCTGAACCAGGGCTCGCTCCCGCGCCAGGCGCATCTCGTAATCTGTGTCATCTTCCCCGTGGCGCTTTCGCTTGCGCCCCGTCGTGCCGGGGGTCCAACCGCTGCTGCGATTACCGTCGCGGGGCGGTGCCGTCGAAAGCTCCTTAGATGAAGGAGCCTCTTCGAGGGGAGGTGGGATTTCGCCGCGCAGAATGGCTAGCCGGCGGTCAGCGTCGGCTTGCTGCATGCGCTGCTCCTCGGCCTCTTCCCGCGCGCGGGCCTCGGCTTCGTCGCGCCGCACGCGGGCAATTTTGGCGGGGTTGTAGACGTTCCATGATTTTTTGCCGAGGAGGTGGCTGGAGGTGGTATGTTAGTAAGACGATCAGTGAGAGAGCAAATAATGCGCTGCTTACAGAGGCATGGTTATGAAGCGCGATGTGATGTCGGAGTGGACTGCGGAGATAGCACCCACTGAAGCCTGGAGGACCTTGAGGGTTCCGGTTGAGCTTGTGATCAATGCCAAGATTGCGGGGCGGGCATTGCTGCTAGTGGTGGGGACACTAATGATGGGACGCCAAGACGCATCCTCCCCACTATCCCCACTACGTTGAGGGGCCGTCAACGCTACAGTAAATGATGCCCAAGAGAAGGCACGGAGGCCTATTTCTGTAGGACAATGTGAACCATTGCTACGTTGTCCAAAGACGCTGTTGCTGAAACGGATGCCGTTCCAAGTTCCAACTGCTGCAGCGAGCAACTCCCCGAAAACGCATCTCACGACCGACCTTCCCTGGCCAGTTCTTGTTGGCCACACAAAAAATTGGACGAACGCGGACTCGTGTACAGAATCCAGTTTCGAACGCCACATCTAACAGGGGAATCAACCAACCCGGATCAGCCGACGTCCCTTACATCCCTCCTCCTTCTCACACGCTTCTGCTCTCTCCAGCTTGCAGACCGCCATGGATCTAAGGAACAATCTTTTCGGTAAACAAGCACCGCGGGCAGGAGGTCCTGGCCTGCCTGGACGGCAGGTCCAGCGACCAAGCGGGGATCCGAATCCGTATGGTGCGCCGCCTCCCGCCGGCTACGACGGCTACGGCGGACGCTCGCCCGCTCCTGCAAGGCCGCCGCAGCAAAGTGTGCCCGGCGGCTACGGCTCGGCCTTGCCTTCCACGGGAAGACAGCCACAGTATCCTTCCGGCGGTTACGGAGGTAACGCAGGTTATGGCGGCAGCGGCGCCGGCGGCCGGAAAGTGCGGTTAAGGCTTGCAAAGGTTGAAGACAAGACGATTCAGGCCCAATATATCTTTGGGAATGTGTGAGTGGTCCCCATCTCTGGCTTTCATTTAGAGTCATCTGACCGCTAAACTAGTTCCGCCGTGTCGCCCAACGATTTCCCCCCGAACCGCGACGGCTCCGACCTGTACATCCGCTTGACCGGCAGCCAGCTCAGCGGCGACTACGTGGTAACAGCGCGCCCTACCCCAGGCTTCCCTGATGGATCCATCAGCTTGTCAGATCCGCAACGAACATGGTGTGGCGTGGGCATGATGGACGAGCTGGTGGGCGAGCTTTACGACCCGTTTAGCCAGGGAGGCGCTGCCTATGTCGGGTCCATCGAGCTTGAGATAGGGTTCGCGTCGGCTAGGAAGATTGTGGATACGCCATACGACCAGGATGAATTAGCCGAGCTGTTCATCAGGACATTCCAGAACCAGGTCTTTGCTCCTGGCCAGAGGCTGCTGCTCGATGTTAAAAACGTCCCCTTGGCTATCATGGTCAAGACGGTGACGTTGATTGACCTCAGCATGCAGAGGACCAGCGAGGCGGCCACACGTACCGACCCGACCGCTCGTGGTATCCTCACCAACCAGACTAGCATAGGCTTCTACAAGGATGCGAGGTCACCTATAAAACTGAAGGGCTCCAACAAGCGGCCGGCCGCCAACGCCATCATTAGCCCAGACTTCAAGTTTGAGGACATGGGCATCGGCGGCCTGGACGCTGAGTTTTCGACCATCTTCCGCCGGGCCTTTGCCTCTCGCATTTTCCCACCTGGCCTGATCGAGAAGCTCGGCATCATGCACGTGAAGGGTATGCTGCTCTACGGGCCTCCCGGGACGGGCAAGACGCTCATCGCCCGGCAGATCGGCAAAATGCTGAACGCTCGAGAGCCAAAGATCATCAACGGCCCAGAAGTGCTCAACAAGTACGTCGGCCAAAGTGAAGAAAACATTCGCAAACTCTTCGCCGATGCCGAAAAGGAGTACAAGGAGAAGGGCGACGAGTCTGGCCTGCACATCATCATATTTGATGAATTGGATGCCGTTTGCAAGCAACGAGGGTCCGGTGCTGGTGGCGGCACAGGGGTCGGCGACAGCGTGGTCAACCAGCTTCTCTCCAAGCTGGACGGTGTCGATCAGCTCAACAACATCCTGCTCATCGGAATGACCAACCGGAAGGATATGATTGACGATGCCTTGCTGCGTCCGGGTCGTCTGGAGGTTCAGGTTGAGATTTCGCTGCCCGACGAGTTTGGCAGAAACCAGATTCTCAAAATCCACACGGCCAAAATGAAGGAGAACAACATCATGGGCAGTGACGTCGACATTCCTGAGCTGGCAGCGCTGACCAAGAACTTTTCGGGCGCCGAGATCAGCGGGCTGGTAAAGTCGGCCACATCGTTTGCGTTTGCTCGGTACACCAAAGGCGGTACCATGGCCAGCGTCAGCGAGGACGTGGCCAACATGCAGGTCGTCAGGGCAGATTTCCTCCACGCCCTGGACGAAGTCAAACCGGCCTTTGGTGCCGACAGCGCGGATATCGAAGAGGCAATCCGCTACGGCATAATCGAATTCTCGAAGAGCATCCCCGGCATCCTCAACGACGGCATGCTGTATGTGGAGAGTGTCCGGCAGGCAGAGAGGCTGCGGCATACAGCAGTATTGCTGCACGGCCCTCCCGGGAGCGGCAAGACGGCGCTGGCGGCCCACATTGCCATGAAGTCAGACTATCCCTTCATCAAGCTCATTACGGCCAGGTCATTGGTTGGGTTCAGGGACGAGCTTGCAAGAAGGGATTATCTCCACAAGATCTTTACGGATGCCTACAAGTCTCCGCTGAGCATGCTCATAATTGGTAAATATACCCCCAAACTCCTAATTCCCCTTTGCAAGTCCGCTAACAAGACCCTTCAGACAACATAGAAGAAATCATCGAATGGAACGACGTCGGGCCACGCTTCTCAAACACCATTTTGCAGGCCCTCCTGGTGCTGACCAAGGCCCCGCCGCCGCAAGGGCGACGGCTGCTGGTCATGGCGACGACGTCGATGCGGCCCGTCATGCAGCAGCTGGGGCTCACGCGGGCGTTCGACCGGCAGATTCGCGTGCCCGCGGTGCAGGACGCGCGCGAGCTTGAGGCGGTGCTGCGCGAGTCGGGCGCCTTTGAGGACCTGGGAGACGTGACCGAGATCATCAACCGGGTGGGCGACTACACAAATTCCCAGCGTGTGGGTGTTGGCATCAAGACTATACTCTCTACGGCCGAGACGGCGCGGCTTAACGCGCAGCCTGCGCAGTGGTTTGCGGAGCAGATGGCGGATTTGATTGCGGTGAATAATCCGTATGGGGATGGGGATGGGGTGGGAGGGATGTGATAG